ATACACGTTGCCATATTACATTGAATGAATGCCAGCAAGGCACTTAACAAAATAAAAATCAAATGGAAATGGAAATGACGCGGTCAGTTAAAGCAATAAAAATGCCAAGCCATTTAATTTTATTTTATAACCTGCATTGACCTTTTGGGTCCCGCAACAAAAACAACAACAGCTTAAGCCAAATCCGCCTCACACACACACACAAAAGAGAGGAAAACAAATTCATGCCGCTGCTGCTTTGGTGTTCATGGAGCCAAATCCGAGTTCAAACGTATCAACAATACTTCTATAAGGAGAGGCTGTCGAAGAGGCAAAGCAGAAGGAAGTAGTTGCGGGCGCCTAAAAGCAGGCAAAGGTAAAATGCTCAGCCGTTGACGTACTTAACCTGCAATGCCTTATCATGTTGCTAAGCCGAGAGGGGAGCGGAATCCTTGCCGTTTGATCTGACGGCCCCGCCCCCACCATCAGCTCTAAATCGGCCTAAATGCGAAACGTAACAGGAAATAAATTTTCAACAGCTTGCCCCAACCCCGACCCCGACCCTACTCTGCGTCCCTTTTCGGACCTCAGCTGGCCTTTGTGCTCCTCCATGTTTACCTTTCTATTTGACTGTCTGTCTGCGCTTAAGTGCCACGCCCACTTGAGTGCTTATATACCGCCACTGAGCTGAGCAACAAAGCAACAAATGCATTTTACAAGACCTTATCTTAAATAGTCAACCGACTCGGGCTTCTTTTGTACCTATTTTCATATTTGCTTTGGTCTTTAAGTGCAACGCACCTTGGAGCCTTGCTTGCTAAAAGGTTTTTCAATTTCTCAATTCTTCTATTGATTATTTGGAAGTAAAAAAAAAATAAAGAAACAAAAGATCTAATTATAATATTTAAGAACCATGCAACAATCTCCAACATTCTAGTTGATAATCTTGGAATACACCTCTGCCTGACACACTTTTATTATTTTCCAACACTTAGTATTTCCAGCACTATTACACCTTTGATTGCATTCTGATTTGTTCAACACTTTTGTTCCAATGTGCATTGGCAATGGCTTTTGTTGGTCTCTCCCGTTGCCATGCTCTTTGCATTGTTGTGGCCCTTTCAGGTGTGCGTGTGTGTGTGTGAGTGTGTGGGCGAAGTGCATTGTAAGTCCTGTAAAGGCTACTTGTATGCAACATTATAACGGCAGGATTCTTCTATATGCCAGCAACTTCCGGTCTATGGCACAACCTAAGCAGGCAACAGTTTTTGGCTTTGACTTTCGCCTCAAGTGGCAGTCGTTTGTTAACAAAAGATGCAGTCAGCATGCCTACACTGAGAAAAATTGTACACCTAATCTGCTGTTAATTCGAATGAAAAAATGTTACCATTAGTTTTTGTTGAACAATTCCCCTTTGTAGCATTACCTTTGCTGCAGAATCTTCCCTTGACCACAAAGAGTAATCCTTGCTAGAGTTTTTAGATTTAAAAGTAATCCCCACCAAATCGGAGCTAGTGCTATTTACAAGGAAGTACAATATTGCGAAACTTCTACCAGCCGCAATAAGTTTAAAGTTTAAGGCTTAAGTTCAAGTTTTAAGCTTAAGTTGAAGTTTTATTTTGGATTTTCAAGTTTTAGATTTAAGCTTTATGTTTAAATTAAAAATTTGAGTTAAAGTTAAAATTTTAAAGTTTAAGTTTAGGTCTAAGTATTAAGTTTTAAGTTTAAGTTTAAGTTTTAATTTGTAAGTTTTAGTTTTAAGTTTTACGTTTAAGATTTAAGTTGTAAGTTTATTTTTTAAGTTTAAGTTTCAAGGTTAAGTTTATGTTTTAAGTTTTAAGTTTCAAGTTTAAGTTTTAAGTTTAAGTTTTAGTTTTAAGTTTTACGTTTAAGATTTTAGTTAAAGTTTTAAGTTTAAGTATTAAGTTTTAAGCTTAAGTTTCATTTTGAGTTTTAAGATTAAGTTCTAAGTTTAAGTTTTAGGTTTAAGTTTTAAGATTATGTTTTAAGATTAAGTTTTAAGGTTAAGTTTAAGTTTTAAGTTTAAGTTTCAAGTTTTAAGTTTGAGTTGTAAGTTAAAGTTTTAAGTTTAAGTTTAAGTTTTAAGATTAAGTTCTAAGTTTAAGTTTTAGGTTTAAGTTTTAAGATTATGTTTTAAGATTAAGTTTTAAGGTTAAGTTTAAGTTTTAAGTTTAAGTTTCAAGTTTTAAGTTTGAGTTGTAAGTTAAAGTTTTAAGTTTAAGTTTAAGTTTTAAGATTAAGTTCTAAGTTTAAGTTTTAGGTTTAAGTTTTAAGATTAAGTTGTAAGTTTAAGTTTTAAGTTTTAGGATTAATTATTTAGCTTAAGTTTAAGATTTAAAGTTTAAGTTTTAAGATTTAAGTTTAAGTTCAAAGTTTAAGATTTAAATTATAAGCGTAAGTTATAAAATTTAAGTATTACGTTTAAGTTTTTAGCTTAAAATGTTAATTAAAGTTCAGTTTTCTGTGAAAATCTGATTGATTTTTTGGTTATGTTTGATCGAATCTGGAATCGAGAACAAGTGCTATTCTTTCTTTAAGTGTAGTCTGTATGTTTTTTTTTTTTATTAAACAAAGTGTTTCCTACTTACGAGCGCTCTTTAAATTTAGTTTCATGCTAGAAATCACTTGAATGGAATTGACTTTTAGTTTTAAGTTCCGAGTACTTTGACAAGGTCTAGGCAATAGAACAACAACAACAACGACAGCATCAGAAAAACAAAGCAACTTCAAAAGTTAGTCGACGATAAAAAACGCAGTTTAATGGATTTCCCTTGTGCTATTCAACTCACTGAAGGAAATAAAGGCTATACATTGCTTAAATCATATGCAACACAGATTTTTCATGTTCAGGGATTTTCCACAACAAATTTCTCCATATTTCAAGCATTCGCTAAAAACTTTTTTCAGACTCATCCCAAGGAAATGTACAACTCGGAATATTAGAAATAATTTGAATAAACATACAGCCCTCCTCCCTGCGTCTCATACAAGGCATTAAAAGGTGATTAAATCTAATTAATTTTTGGGATTTCTGTCTTTTCTTAAAATCTTCGAGACATTGAAAGCCAAATATTTTTTTTTATAAGTTTTTATTCTTTATTTAAGATCTGTCCTAAGGAAAAGCCAAATATTGATGATCAATTGTTTACTACTGAGTATGAAATTATTTACCAAACATGTTTAGGATTTTACTTTTTTTAAAATTATAGCTTAATAAAATGTTTCATAATTAAAAATAATACTAATAATTACAATTATTTACAACAATAATAATAATAATAATATTGTTCATATTAACATTAATTTTTCCCTAAGAGTATACCCAAGTCTAAAATCCTTAAAAATAATACCAATAATTACAATTATTTAGAATAAAAATAATATTGTTAATATTATCATTAATTTTTCTCTAAGAGTATGCCCAAGTCTAAAATTTCTACCTATTGTCCGACTCGCTGTTTTTCTTCTCTTTAGATATATATTTCTTTTTTGTTGCTGGATTTGTATATAAGTAGTGGTAAGGGTATGTGGGGCCTTTTTATTGGGGTCCGCTATTCTTTTTGTTGAAGTGAAAAGTTAAAATTTATCATCAGGCTGAAGGCTGAAATGCGGATGCAGCACGTGCGTGTTGCTGCCATTGTTGTTGTTGTTGGTGTTGGTGTTTTTGCCGCTGTTGTTATTCTTCTCTTCTTCCTTGGCCGTTGCTCATTTGAAAGGACAAAGACAGGAGCACATTACATTTAATTGAATGTTACGGTTGGCTTCCATGTCTACACGACCACAACAACAACAACAATGACACTTGTCGTCTTGCCGTGTCCTTTATGCGCGCGTGTGTGTGTGTGTGTGTGTGTAAACGTGAGAAAGGACAAAACACGCGCCGATTTTACTTTTCGCTGCAGCAGCAGCAGCAAAGAAAAGGAAAGGAAAATTATAATGTAGTGTAAATATTTAATGATGATGTGACTCTAGATTGCGTTCTGGCCACGAAAAACAACACAAGCGCCACGGCACGTGGCCGAAGATCGCGCACGGACCTGCACGGACCTGCTTCTTGGGCTCAACTCAACTCAACTCAATTCAATGAACTGGAATGCTAAAATGCTGCACCATTTTCGTATCCTTTGCACACCAACACAATGGTTTTTCCACTTTTGTGTCGAAAAGTTCAACAAGAAATATATACGAACGCGTATAAGTAATGCTGGCAGGAGTCCATTTTTTTACTGTTCTTTGACTCGACTGTTTTCAAAAAAATGTATTTGAATATTCGATATAAACGTATGTGCTACATTATTGCTTTTAATAAATAAGGGTTTCAATAAATGACCAACTAACTTATTAATTAATTAATTTTTATTATTTTTACATGCTAATATTTATTTTATTTATGTTATTTATTAATTTTTATTGATTTTATTGCTATTTTGGATAATTTGTTTTTTATTTTATGTTTTATTTTTAATTATTTTTTAATTATACATTTAAAACTACCATCATTTTATTTTTGAATTTTCTTTTAATTTGGTTTTCATTAATAAGAAAAATTTACTCTTTTTGGATTTATAAATAACCGTTAAAACCTCTTTTTATATATTTTTTGAAATAAATGTAAATTTGGGAAAATAGTTCACGCTGGTTTTTCTATAGCTTTTTATCTATTCATTGAAAAATTTTGAAATTTTGAAAATTTTCTACCTATTTTTTATTGCTGTGAACTATTTGAAATTAAAAATTACTTAATTAACACAAGCAACGGATTAACAAAATAACCAGTTTTTAAGAATGCATTTCAAACAAATTTCTGCTTTCAGTAAAGGCATGCTGCACTTTTTTATTTATATTGCACGTGTCTGTAAAAGTGTGAATCAACACTATTAACTTAATCCTTTTCACATATTTCCGTGTTGTACTCCGCCACCTATTGTTTAACATGCATACCATCAATGTTAATTTGACTATTGCCACCTTTTGGCTGTGCAGCTGTCTGGCAGCACTGGCACATTGACGTCCACAATCGATACACTCGATTGCATGTGATAGAGAAAATGTACGTCATGTGATTGTGGTACTATTTTTTTCGCACGAAGCAGTCACCTGTCAGCCGAGAAAAATACAATTACGCCAGCAAACTGGTAAGTGCCAATAATTAATTTGATATTATGAAAACGCTATTAATTACACACTCTAAATGCAGCACACAGATAAATTAACTCGTGCAAGATGGCGGCCCAAATACGCACTGTCGTTACGAACACATTTCTCACGCTCTTTGTCAGCGTAGCCGTCGTACTCATTCTTTACTATGTTTTCAATGGGCAGGGCGAGCGTGTCAGCGTTGGCTGGTTCCTGAGCACAACGAGTCCCTATATGTGGGCCTGTCTCGGCATCGGACTCTCCGTCTCCCTATCTGTGGTGGGCGCCGCATTGGGCATTCACACAACTGGCACAAGCATTGTGGGCGGAGGCGTGAAGGCGCCTCGCATTAAGACCAAGAACTTGATTTCGGTCATTTTCTGCGAGGCTGTGGCCATTTATGGCCTGATTACGGCTATTGTGCTGTCCGGCCAGCTGGATCAGTTCCAGATGAGTGTGGTGCTAAATAATCAGGCGCTACAAAACTCAAATTGGCTCTCGGGTTACCTCATCTTTGGCGCCGGCCTTGCCGTCGGCCTTGTCAATTTATTCTGTGGCATTGCGGTCGGTATTATCGGCTCTGGCGCGGCGCTGTCGGATGCAGCCAATGCGGCACTTTTCGTCAAAATTTTAATTGTGGAAATTTTCGGTTCGGCCATCGGTCTCTTCGGCCTCATCGTCGGCATCTACATGACGTCCAAGTCCAAGATGGGCGACAAGGAATAAAGTGCACTGCAGCTGCCACACAAACTTAAAGCAGTAAGTAGACATTTTATTCAAAATCCCTCATTAATTGACATTCAAGTTTTGGCTTTCAGCGTTTGTTATCACGCGACCCCTCAAACAACCAACAAACAAAAAGAAGATAAAAAATAAATCATTCAGTCATTCCCACAGTAAAAACGAAACACATCAACAGCAGTGTTTCACCATTTTTTGGAAATTACAACAAATTGTTTGTTCAGTTACAGTTACCAGAGCCACGCTTCAACATGGGACTTTAGTTACTTATTAAGTTAAAAGTGTTAAATGGTTTAATTTTCTCGTTGCGCACATTCCGCCAATTATCAGCATCAACTAACAATCAATTGGCGCCCGAATGTGCGTCGTGCGAAAATTGCAAATATTATTTATGATTAATTTGGCTTTTGTAAGAAAAGCGAAGTTTCAAAATATTAGTACGAAAGAAAGACGTGTGTGTATGATTATTGTATAAGTTGTTGTTATAAGTACCTATCTATATATATATATGTTCTTTTGGCACTTGTATTTCTAACATGTATTATACTATTAACTACAAATAAAGGTAAAAACTGTATATTTTATGCTACTGTTAAATCAGAAGTATGTAATAGTACACCAGCCACACAATTATTACTATTATTATTATGCTAATAGTAAATATTCCAATACAAACAAATACATATGCGAAATTATATTTAAAGTAATAAATACAAATACCTGTGCTTTGTTTATCAGTCGCATTAGCAAATCTTATCTCTAAGCACGCGCTATGACGTCACAGATTTTAGCAATTTGAATGAGCAATTTGCGCGCGATCTTCTAAATCGAACTGTTGGCAGTTTAAATTTTGCACTACTATGCAGCACTGTCCCTACTATGACATCAATTAGGAAACTATTATTATGGTAATAGCAAGTATTCCTATACGTACAAATATACGAAATTACAGTTAAATAATAATTGCAAATATTTATGCTTTGTTTATCAGTCGAATTAGCTAATCGTATATCTAGGCATGCGCTACAACGTCACAAAATCAGCAATTTGAATAAGCAGATTGCGCGCGCTCTCACAAATCGAATTTCTGCCAACACCAAATGTGGTATACTTCGCAACACTGTTAAGCAACTAGAGCGGAGTGTGTGACTTATTTCTACCAAATGTGTATGTATTTCAAGAAATATGCTCCAATCTTCTACTTGGTGTAGATTATTTGCTTATATATTTGTATTTTAAATTAAACCTTTCGTAAAATGTGTTCATTAACATGTAAATTTTTATGAATAGGAGTAGAAAATCGGAACTAAAATTGTTTCTTTCCTATCATATCCTTTTGCTTATATATTTGTATTTTAAATTAAACCTTTCGTAAAATGTATTCATTAACATGTAAATTTTTATGAATAGGAGTAGAAAATCGGAACTAAAATTGTTTCTTTCCTATCATATCCTTTTCCTTAAATATGTACATATGTTTATATTTTAAAATATTTATATTTAGGATATACTCATTAAGGACATATTGGTTCTTGAGTATACATACATATATGTATGTTTTTGAAGTTTGCATAAAAAATTGCTTAGTGGAGAACATTTTTTTTATATAATAATACAGTTTTAAATTTATATAAAATGAAAGGAATTCTATCTTAAATGACAAGAGCACATTTTTGTATATATCTAAGAATATATTCATTTTTAAACATATGTTCTCCTAGAAGTGCTCTTCTCAAGCCCTATCCTTTTATGAATAATTGACAATACTTATTTTAAAAAATATTTCGAAATATCCTGCATAGCAATATTCGTTATTCTCGTTGAAAACGTCAGAGTTTCCAAACAAGTGAGTATAGCAGAAAATTAACTTGAATACGTTTTTCTTTTCCGGTTTCTACCACGCTTTCAAAATGCGTTTTCGATTGGTATTTCTGCTCATATTTACCGGGGTTGCAAGCTTCGCAGCTCTGATTGCAGTTCTGGGTCAAGTGATAAACGGCACCGGCGAACGTGCGGGTTTTAGTTGGTTCCTCTACAGCACCAGTCCTCATATGTGGGGAGGCATGGGCGTGGGATTGGCTGTGTCCTTGTCAGTGGTGGGTGCAGCCATTGGAATCTACACAACAGGCGTCAGTGTGGTGGGCGGCGGGGTGCGTGCTCCTCGGATCAAGACCAAGAATCTCATCTCGATTATATTTTGTGAAGCTGTGGCCATATATGGACTCATTAGTGCCATCGTTTTCTCCGGCAATCTGCAGACATATATTACGGTTCGGATGATCAACAGTCGATCACAATTGGCCAAGAACATGTTCACCGGTTTTGCGACTTTCGGCTCCGGATTGGCAGTGGGTTTGGTCAACCTTAGCTGTGGCATTTGTGTGGGCATCGTTGGTTCCGGTGCCGCCCTCTCGGATGCGGCCAATGCTACGCTTTTTGTGAAAATTCTGATTGTGGAGATATTTGGTTCGGCCATTGGTCTGTTTGGCCTGATTGTTGGCATCTATATGGTATCGAAGGCAGAAATGGTTTCCTAAAGAAACGTTCAAACGATTCAATGAGGAAACTACTTTTAATTAAAAAACAGTTTCAAGTGTTAAACATAAGCTTTTGTGTTAATTATTTTTATGCTGAGGATCCAGATTTATGCTGTTTATATAAAAAGATACACAATTGCAATCAGTTAAAGAAATTAAAAGATTGGCATACAACATCATATAGAAAGCTTTTTTATCTTCCTTTTGATAAAAATTCCTTGGCATCAGTTACTCGCAAGTACAGCATCAAAGATTCTCAGCAACAAACGTCCTCATTGTCTTCAACATCAATCTTCTTCATCACTACTCTGCGCTCTGTCTTCGACATTGCTGCCTTCTTCGGATTCCTCATCCCAATGTTTGATCTTTTTATTTGTCATAAAGTCCTCACGTAGCACATTCCATTCGGACTTCTTTTTGCCACCAGACGCAAACGCATCGTCTTCGGATTGACTGTCCTCCTCAGTATCCGATTCCTCCTTCTTTACGGCATTGTCAATGGCCTCCGATTTGGCACGTTTACCACTCATCAATATATCCAGGAATTTGCGTTTATTTATGTTATTAAGCACCGCATCCTGGCGACTATCCAGAGGACCGGCTTCCTCCAACTGTTGTTGCAGTTCCTTTTGCTGAACGCGCACGGCATTGAAGAATTGGACAACGCCACGTGTGGCAACCTTCCTCAGGCTGCGCTCGCGCTCAATATCCCGGAAAGTGGGCTTCACGCGTAGCTGTAGGGGCACATTTTTGCGTTGCTTTTTCGTCAGTTGGGCGTCCAAGGCAGACGTTTCTGGTTTCTCCTCAACTTCCTCTTTCACTTCAGCGCCACTGGCCCCATCGATTTCAAAGCCATAACTTTTCGTTTTGTTGCTGCTACTTCCATCCTTTGAGGATACGGCTTGGCTTTTCTTTGCCCGCGCCAGCACAGTTTTCTGTACATAAGGCCTGCCACTTGTCTTTAAAACTTTATTTATAGAATCAGCCCAGCCGGAGTTGCCTTCAGTAGCGCTCCCCACGCTGTTCGAGTCCGATTCAGAGCCACTGTCGCTTTCAGCTGATCAATAATTTCAAAGATATTATGCTCGTTTACACAATCGATTAATAAATTACTCACGTGCTGACGCTCTTTTGGACTGTTTAGCTGTTTGTAGTGCCATTTTTGTGTATTATTATTTTTGTTATCTGTTTAAAAACAACATTTATAAATATGCGCACAATTGTTTAAACGTTGGAACGTGCTTGAAGAAGAAGCGCGCATGTGGCACTTACCATTCACTACATACATATGTAGCAGTGTGCTGCCACCTGGTTGCGTTTTTTAATTGGGTGAAATATTGTCCAGCACTATATTTTTCGACGCTACAAATGTGACTGCCGCTGCATAAAATTTTCTAAGCGGCTGCAGCTCCAGTTGGAGAACTGATTTTAAATTGTTAAGTCTTGTATTAAAAGCGCAACATGCTGAAATTAAAGCTGGAGGCATTGGGGCATCCAACACCCAATGATGTGGTGCTGAGCAGTAAGTATAGAAAACAGCCGGAGAAAACATTGCAAAAATTAATGAAATACACGCCCGCCCACACACACAGACCGCAAAGAATTCGCAAGCACTGTGCTTTGGCTGGAAGATCAAAAGATTCGTCTATATACGATTGAAGATCGGGCAATGCTACGCAATCTGGATGACATGAAGGTGTGGGAGGAAGGTTACAAGAAATATTGTGCAGACTTAAATATGCCGTCGTTGGAAACGCAAATCGAACAACTCACCTGGATGCTGGGTCATGCAATACGCCTAGAGTTTCTCGACGATCCAGGACAATATGAGGCATTTAATTCGGAGGAATGGGGGAAGCAAGATAACAAAAAGAAGCTGACACCAGCGCCTAAAATTCAAGCTATTTTCGATGGCAAAATAAATGGTGAGCCAATAACATTTTGCGCTTCAAAGACGTTATAATTTTTAATTTTTTCGGGCAGTTCAAGACAAGGACTTCATTTCTGGCGTACGCGCACTGGCTAATAAACTAAATGTTCCTCATCATCCTAACCATTTGTTACAACTGGAAGCTGTGGCACGCATTGTGCACGAACGTCTGTCGCCGGCTGCGAAAAATCGAAAGCCCATTACCGGCACTCCGTTCCCTTTCGAGAAGGGCAACGATATAGTTTCTGTGAATGATCCTGCTCTCGACTATCCTATGCGCATACTGCGCCTGCTACAAATACAAAGTCTGCGCGAGCTTCAAACCCAAATCAATGAGACAATCGTGTCGGTGCAAGATTTGACGGCCAACCCAAAGACTGACACCAAGCTGGGAAAAGTGGGATTTTAATTGGGGTTCATGTATAAATCTGTTTTTTATTTTGTTTTTTACATTTTTTTTTTTATTGAAAATACACGTGGGATGCTTAGCTATGCATAAATAATTTTATTGAGTAAATGTGTAAGTCTCTTGAATCTAAGAGCGTCCTTTGCTCGACTCGCTTGTGTTTGCCGGCCTGCTTGGCTCAAGGTCAGCCTTTAGGAAATTTGCATCGGCCAGACGTGCCACTCCTAAAGCTCCAACAACTGTGGGCATAATGCGGGACTAATTGCATGTTGACGGGTCTCATTAAAAGTTTACGCACCTGCAGCCAAGCCCTTCATGGTATATTTCTCGATTGGACGCGGACGCTTCGATTGTGAGAACAGAAAGGCCCCAATGCCCAACAGACCAATTCCACTAATTAGACGACAAGCCACGCAATCCGCGTCCTCCGAGACATTTCCTCGATACCAATAACTGAATCTACCGATCATATTGTTAAGGTTTTCCACAATTGCCGGCTGCAAAAATAATAATAATAAAACTAATAGTGTTGGGGCTGCCAACTTTTTATATACGCTTGTTGTGGCAAAGCATACTGAGGCGATATATTATAATAATGGCAGCTAATTTTTATTTGTTAAAGCTTAAACTATAATTATGTAATGACTAGCGTATTAACTTAAAAGTAATCTGGTACTTGTAACGCTAGGATAAGTTTATACATAAATAAAAAATAATAGTAAATCGCCTTTATGCCAGGCGAAAAATGCAGGAAAAATGTATTGTAATTCTGTACCTTAATTTATCTTAATAATTACTTATTCTGTATTTATGTGCTTTTAAAAAGTTTTATTTTCTTTAAATTAGTTTTTTTATTTAAAAATGTAATTTATAGCTTTTAACTTTTAACGAGTTAACGAGTTTTTCATTGAAAAGGTCAAACATCGGGAAAAAAATCGATATTTGAAATAATATATCGATGTTTCTTCCCTCACTAATACTTCACTTTTGCTGTCGCTAAGCAATAACGCCAATAAGTCATTTTCGCAAATTTGTTCTTTCCATTTTGTTCAGCGTGATTGCTGGAAGTTAAATAATAGGTTGAATAAGTATTTATTGAAAAATATTTTCAAAAAGAAGCCTAGCGGGTAAGTAAAAGTTTTCGCAAGGTAAAAATATTTAAAACCGACATTTTGCTCAGCATAATTTTAGGGACAACGGTTGGAATTCTTTTTCATGCACGACATATGTATGTACATATGTACATATGTATATGTATGCATGTGTGTTTTCATGATTGTGCATGCGAGAACAATCGGAAGAAAATATTTTAAGTGAATCGAATGCAAAAAATTACTGGCTTGTGTCCCTTTTAGTCTAAAATGGGCCGTCGTCGAACTCGTAAGACGTCGTCGACTTCGTCTGAAAGCAATGAATTTAGATCGCCGCCTCCGAAAAGGAAGAAACGACGAAAACCGGCAGAACAACATGATAAAGCTTGGTCGCCAACTCCAGAAACTTCCTTGCCACATACTGTAAGTCATAAAAGGAATAAAATGATACATTCTTCAAGAATAGATAAAGATTTGCAATTTTTCAGATTAAAGATAGCCTTTCGGAACGCTGCGGTAAGGTGGCATCGATGCGCCTACAAAATTTTATGTGCCACGAGAACTTGCTGATTGAGTTTGGTCCCAATATCAATTTCCTTGTGGGCAGCAATGGCAGTGGCAAAAGTGCCGTCCTCACAGCCCTCGTCCTTGGCCTGGGCAGCTCCGCTCGTGCCACGCATCGTGCCAGCAGCATTCAAAGTGAGTTCAGCTCGTTGAAAAAATGTAAAACAATGAGGCCGCAATATTTTTAAAATATAGAACTTATAAAGAATGGAGAAACGAGTGCCACCATTGAGGTGACGCTTTGCAATTCAGGACTGCGTCCTTATAGACCCGAATTCTATGGCCCTCGTGTAACAATTGTGCGTCAAATACGTTTGTCCTCTTCTAATTACCAAGTGAAGGATGCGCGTGGCAATATTGTGTCCAGAAAACTGGATGATATACGTCGCATTTTGGTGTTTTTCGGCATTCAGGTGGATAATCCTATATTCGTGCTTAATCAGGATACGGCACGGCAATTCCTGAAGGAGTGAGTTGTGTTTAAAAATCAAAACATTTTAGAGAACATAAATAACTTATTTTTTCCCACTTCAAAGTTTGGATCCAGCAACGAATTACGCGTTGGTGATGAAAGGTAGCTACGAAACCACTTGAATGATTAATAATCATATTTAAATAGTATTATGTATTATGACAGGCACACAGCTAGATTTGTGCTGCAATAGCTTGAATCAGATCTATGAGAAACGCATAAACCTGACTTTTGAAATTGAACTTCTAAAAGATGTAAGTTATAACTCTGCATATGTTGAAAGTCAAGTGTTTAATGAAAATGGCTTTAATGGCACAGCGCAAGGAGCAGACAGAAATGCTAGTTAATGAGGAGGAGGAGAAATTGAAAATGCTTCAAAACAAAGAGTCCATAAAGGTAGAACAATTGTTTCTCAATCCGCTAGAAAATACAATTCTTTCGTTTGCATGTTTCAGGCACTCTTGGGTCAGTCCAAATTAGAATTGGCATGGCTTGCCGTTAAGCAGCATGAGAAGGAATTGACTGGCTGTTTGACCAAGATAAAAGCCATTGAAGTGAAGAAAGCCGAACTGATCGAATCCACCTCCAAAAAGGAATGTAAACAACAAGCCTTCTCTCAGCAATTGAGGTGAGTTTTCGATACAACTAATCGTTTAATAAAATAAAGTTATAAACTAAATATCACAGCAAATTGGAAGAAACAAAGGCACAAATTTTAGAATTGTATGGCCAACAAGAACGTACAATAAAGAATGCCAAGCTACGAGTGCAGGAAATCAACGAAAGAGTCTGTGAAATTAATATAAATATTAAGAATGCTGAACGTCGATTGCAGGAGGATCAAAAGCTCTTGGACAGCTGTCAGAAGCATTTAGAGAACTATAATGTGGACTACGCGAAAAATAAACGCCTGAAGGAGAATCATTCGGCCAAGTTGGCGGCATTAAACAAAAGTATGAAGGCGAATGAGGAAACAATTCGTCAATTACGTAAGGAACAGGAGGAGCTCACAAATAAAGCTTTTGAAGCACAAGAGCAGGCTGAACATTCCAGGAATGAAGTCAGAAGACTTGAAAAGAAAGATAGTAAGTTAATAATTTGATTCGAGTAAACAATCAATAATTATCTCCCTCTCTTAAACTAGTTCATCTGAGGGCTGAAATTCATTCGTTGAACACCAACAAATCGAATAAAACATGTGTGTTTGGACAGCAGGCGATGCAGGCACACGATTTTATACGTCGAGAATTTAATAGCGATGACCATATTAATTTGCCACGTGGACCAATTGCCAAATATATATCCGTGCCGAATCCACAGTACCGCGACTTAATTGAGCATGAATTAACGCATTCGTTGCGCTCCTTCATTGTGAATTCGGACGAAGATCGTCGTAAGCTGAGAAGTATATTTGAGAGAGTCTACACTACGGGCCATCTACCCTCAATAATTTCCAGCCCGTTTTCGGATCACGTCTACGATGTCTCGCCCTATAAAGTTAAGAAAATTGAAAACACTTCGGTACTCATTGACGAAATCAAATGTGACGATCCCATTGTGATGAACTTTTTAATCGACTGGTGTAGAATTGAAACTGTTTTAATTACCGAATCAAAAGAAACTGCTGAGTACCTGACCTCAGACTCCGAAAATGTCCCTCCAAACCTTACGCGAGTATTGGTTCCCAATCTATATCTTGAATACATACCCGCTCCGCATTATTCCATGTATTCGCTAAATCTATTATCGGCCCGACTTTTGCAAGTAGACATAAATGATCGCATTAGGCTGCTTGAGAAGGACACTGTAGATGTGAAAAGAAGTCTACTAAACGCACAAATAGTATTTCAAAAAACAAACGGTCTCACGATTAACTTTAAGAAAGAAATCAAAGCTAAAGCACCAGTCATAGAGCAGCTTTCCAACGAAAATATAAAAGCCTTGGAGGAAATTATGGAAATCGAGCAATACGAATACGAAGAGTTACCTGAGCAAGATCATTTGGTAAGGAAATTATATTTAAATGAAAATTTTGTGTAAAATTTATTGAAATTAAATTAATCAATTCATCAACCCCTCATGAGGACCCTATATATTTAAGCAATTTTCCAACGTATCATAATAAGTTTGATATTTCTTTCCTAATATACTTTCGCCTAATTTAAGCAAAAAACTATGGATAGTATTAGAGCAAAAATGTCAGAAACCGAAAGACAACATAGACTGCTGCTGGCAGATCTAAGCGAAATTAATGAGCAAAAGGCTCAAGCCGAAAAACAAGAGGCTGAGGAGCGTGCCAAAATTATTCCAATTCAGGAAAATATTGAATCGATTGAAAAAGAATATCTGGATATTGAGAGTAAAATACGAAGTCTAGATACACATTATGAGGCTAATTTTGTTAAACTAAACAAAACCATCGAGCTGCACGAAAATTTTCTCAAACAGAAGGCCGACGTGGAGCGGGACCTGAAAGAGGCACGCGATAAGGCGCAGAAAAGGGGCGATTGTTGCGAAATCGAAAACACTGAACAGGAAATACGTGACAAAATCTGTCACTATAAAGCAAAGATAAAACAATTTGAAAACTATAATGGTAGCGTCGAAAAAGTTCAGCAAAAACTGAACCAATTACGAACCAAACTTCAGTCCCAAACTGAGAACTTACAACTTGCTAGAGAGGCAGCGAAAAAATTACGCATATCCTATCACCAAAGAGCCCAGCGTTACCAAAGATGCCGATTCCATTTTTTTTCAATGGTTGACTTCCAGTTTCAGGTAAAGCCCTAGATAGGCTATCAAGTGATCCTTATTTGCTTAATATTTGCTTCCATTTTTAATCCACAGCAAGCGTTGAGTCTGCGCGAATTTAAATCAAATGTCATAATTGATCACGGCGCCAATACAATGCAAATAGATGTAGAACCTCCGAGTGGAAACAAAACATCCAACTCCAAGACTCTGTCGGGTGGGGAGCGATCGTTTACTACAGTGTCGCTCTTGAAGGGTCTCTGGAGCACATCGGATCATCCGTTTTACTTTTTGGATGAGTATGACGTTTTCACGGTAAGCCAATATACGCATTATATGGAATCGGAACTCTCACATTATTTCTATATTACTTTCAGGATGAGATAAATAGAAGTTTTATAACACAAATTCTGATTGATGAAGGAAATGATTATCAGAACAGACAATTCTGCTTCCTAACTCCACAGGATACTGAAGTGGCGGCCAGTCCTCTCATCAAGGTCCACAAGTATGTAAATTTAATATGCACCTCACAATTGATGAATGTTTATAATTAATATTTTCAAGGTTGGAGCCCCCAGTGGTTTAAAAAAATTCTTTAATTACCAAAAAAAAACCTAATACTTTTGTATTAGAAAGAGAAATGCTTTTTTAATTTTTTTAATAGATTAATAAATTTTAAAAATACTTTCTAATACTTTTATGTTAGAGAGAGAGGAATGACTTTTAAAAATTGTTTTTATAGATTATTTTTTTATAAACTAAATTTATTTAATTTAATAAAATTAATAAAAACTAAAGCAGTTACAAAAGCGTCTATAACTTTCTTTACATGCGATCTATTAAAATGAAATTTAACATGGGGGTACATGAGCATAATGAGATGTAATTCCCAAATTATAGTTAAAATCCTAAGAAAGACGAATCACGGCTTTGACTTGAAACTTATTTTGTGGCGCTTTTTTAAGGCACGGTTAGCTTCCATTCTTCATTATTAAATACTCATCGATGGTTGACTGCCGTGTAACGCCTTGGATACAATTTAAAAATTAAATTAGATTTTTCAGTTGATAACATGTACCTGAAATTGAATTAGATTTGTTAAACAATTTGATTCCATTTACTAATGAAATTATACAACAGTTTTTAGTTTTTGTTTTATTTCAGCGTTCTCTTTAATTTGTTGAGTATATATCACAATTAATAAATTAATTAATATACCAATGTTTCGTTTACTTAAATTTTAAACAAACATGAATTAATAAATATTACAACAAAAAAGTTTAACAATAATAATTTAAAACTGTATTCACATGTTACTAATTTATATCTTTCATGAGCTAATAATGGATACAAAATTAAAAATTCCAAACTAACTACAAAATTTTTAACAAAATTATTTAATAAATATACATAGCTAAAAAAGAGATAAAAATGAGAAATTCATTAAAATACCAAATTTGAAAATACATTTACATATTTTTGAGCAATTTTAATGAGAAACTTTACCCACAAATAATAATACACAACTAAACAACCTAATTTGAAATACAACTTTCAGAATTTTAATGCCACAAGTAATTTAAAAAACATTATTAATAAAAAAAAAATGGCAAATGTACAACCTATTGAGCAAAGGTTACACAAATTATTAAAATATAATGCTATAAATAAAAAGGAAAACCAAAAATACAACTTTAGTGACATAATATTTCAATAAATAAATAAATAATATACAGAGTATAAACAATTTTAAATACTGAATAAAACAAATAAAATTCCAACTGTTAAGCAAACTTTATATATTTTGTAAGAATCTTTCACAACTTCCATATAAACGTACCTTAAATTATTTCTGCTTGGAAAAAATTTAACTGCTTGAGCTCGCAAAAAACATTTCGTGAGCAACAATTATATGTCACACTGTTTTGTACTAAACCGACTGTGTTGGTTATTGATGTTTTCAAATATATCGAATATTTTCTTATTTATCGCACATACGCCAGAACGTCCTAGAGATTTCCATCTCACAAATACATCGCTGCTTGTCAGATGGGATGCATCGATGTATTGTGCTATATCAATAAAAGAAAACATCGGTGCCTACGATAATCGCATTTAATTTGAACAGAACTAAAAATGGTAGTTTAAAGAAAATTGAAGCTACTTTATTTCTATTAATCCAATTGGTAAAAATGCAAAACTGGCATAAAATGAATTTTATTAAGACGCTTGGATTGTCAATCGGCATAGGGGTGGCCGCCATCATCAAATGTTTTTAAGCTTTTTTGAACTGCTTTGGAAACTGGTTATATTCCAGAGAGTTATATTTCCAAAGAGCCTTCATTAAATAGGGTTTTAGAACCCTGTCAACGAATGCGTCACACGTTTGTTGTTATTTTATTTAATCTTGTAAATGTAACATAACATAATAAAGTCAGATGAAATAAAAATCGATTTTCGATGCATCGAATCAATCGAAGTATTCAAAACATCGAATCAGCCCGATACATCGCGGCCAAACATCGATGTATTATTGAACATCGATGTATATCGCGCATCCCTAGTACGTCCCAACCCTGTGCTCTGCAAGTGTGTTTTCTTCAAGTGGATAAAATTAATCTAATAAATGTTTAAAGTTGGCCATTAGCTCAATTGAAAAAAGTGTAAGTTTGCAGGCAAATGACTATTAATAGGTTTTAAGTAATTGTGCGATACAAATAAATAAGTAAATGTTGCTCAAAATTGGTGCCGAAAATTAAAGAAAATTGCCGACGCGACAACGCCGCACACACAGACACAGAAATACACCTACACAGGCACACACACGCATACTCGCTGGCTTTGGCTTTGACTGCTTGCAAATGGCGGATGCGGATGCCGTGCAGGAAAAAAAAAACTGCATACATATGTATGTATGTAACATACATATGCATGTATGTGCTTACCGTGATTTAGATGTATAAAGTTAAAAAAACTGTAGACGTTGCAAGAAGTTCGTTTGAATTGCAACTGCAATTGCATAAAAAAATAAAAGTGGGCTTGCATGCTTGGGAGTTAGTGTGTGTGTGTGTGTGTGTGTGTGTTGGGGTGCAGTGCATTTGTTGTGTTTGTTGTGCGCTTCATCCTCAGCAGCGACAGCGACGCCCTTTTGTCTTGAGCTTTACGTACATCGCCCTTTTGTGTGGGCCAACATCACCCACACCCCCAATAGCTGCAGTGAGTGTGTCTGTGTTAATGCTTGGCTCCGCGCTACACAACGTCAACATATTGCCTTTTGCAGAAAAACAAACAACAACAAATAAACATACACTTATAGACAGAAATATACACATAACCAAAAGAGAAATGAGGCTTAGGTCATTTATTTACATAGCATTTGTTGCCGCAATTCTTCTTATTGTCAAAAGTGTCGCCAATTAGTTGCTTAATTAGCATAAAAATATGCCACAGGCGCCACAAACCAAAGCCCATCAGCAACGGCTGCTGCACTTTCACTTACACTTACAGTTATTAATTAAAAAGCTCTCTCGGAACTGCAATGCATTCGCACATCTACATACATATGTATGTAAATGTGTGTGTTTGTGCATTTACATATGGTTGGTACCGTTGCCTGAGAGAGTGCGCGAATGCTTCTTCGGCCTTAATTTGACAATAATCAAGCCAATAAGCGCACTGACACATTTCTATGTGGCACAACAACAATGGCCCCGACTATAATAATGACTGCAAAGTGTGGGAAAGGGGCCTGGGGGGAAACCAGCAAAAATGTATTATTTGATTTGCCAAGAACTTGTGCGCCGCCGTCTGTCTACACAGACAGCCAACTACAACATGCCACACATACTTGCAAACTTGTCAACATACACACACACATACACACACTCATACAAACATATGTACATAAATGTATACATTTGAATGTACACCCAACGAAATAGAAGAAAATATCGACTGACTGACAATTGAAGGCACAACATTCTTCAGATAAAGAAACTATTATTGTTCTTAATTAGAAACTCAAAGGGCTGTGTCTGTTTTCCGAGACTTTAATTAATTATTTTCTCAATTTCATCTCGGCTTGGTTAGGGGAAGAACCCTCGAAAAAGTTTACAATTGCGTTTTACAGTTTTTAACAAATTAGCTGAAAATGTTGGCAGGAAAACGTAAAACAAATCGATAGAATGGAGATAAATACTATAGGCTTATATGATCCTTATTAGACGGAAAAAATGAAACCTATTTAGTTGGATTATGGAATTATTTTCTTTAGTTATTAAATAGGAATCCAATTTCGAAAACGAGCTAAAGCTAGTATTATTGTTATTAAGTGTAGCCCTTAACTTCGGAAATGAAAGTAATATCCATAAATTTACAAGTTATCTAAGAAATTTAAACACAAACGTCTCAACACAACAAAATTAAAAAAAAAAAAAAACTTTTTTTTTTTATCGTTCTTTAATTTTATTTAAGCTTTACTTCGAGACTTGCTAGCATTTGCTAACAGCTTTTGAGAAATGGATAAAAGCTGAGTGCGTTTTTGTCGGGTGTACATACGTACAGAGTGTTTTTGTGATATGTGTCTGTTTGTGCCCCTTTGTTCAGATTTTTATCAGACGCGCACAAGAAATAAACATAATTGATGTGTTGGCCTCTATAAGTTGCTGCTGTTGTAATTGTTTTCATTATTCTTGCTGTTGCCATTTGCGTTTGTCATTTGACATTTACACACAGTTGGCAGCCAGCATTTATTGTTTGTGCAACAATCATTCGACTGAGCTGACCTCATGACGGCCCTCTCCCCACTCCCCCCGCCGATTTGAGTTTGCAGCATGTGCATTGCGCTTTCCTAATCTTATCGCTCCTAGAAATGCCAGTCAGAAAAAAACGGGTGAAAATTGAAAACTAGTTGTTCTTACTATACATACGTGTTCCCCATAAATTCATTGACAAGTGAACGATCCGCAGATAAGCCAAGACATAGAACGTTCATGAAATTCTCGGAAATTCCACTTCCCTGCCATGCCCCTAATTGATAATAGCAACTACAGAGAGTCTGCCTGCGTGCGTAAGCAATCAATAATCATTAATAGCAGCACAATCTTACAATGTTATTTCTTCATAGGCATAAACGGAACTCTGTGACTCACCGAAAAATATAAAATAAACCGCGCAAGCTTCCAAACAAAGTTTCTTGTTTTGCAAATTTGCATTAACGACATTTTACTACGGTTAGTCATACGACGAACTAAATACATAACTACATAAAGCAAAGTTGTTTTACTAACTTGAAGATAACTGCTTTTGATTTAAAGCCACTTGAGATACAATTTTTGCTTCGAGTTAGAACAGCTTGTGTGGGAGCAAACTACTATAGCGATATTTCGTAGCAAGTTCTAGCTTTTTTTTTGTTGCCGTTGAAAACGAAGGAAAATATAAAGAATGTTATCATCGTTTCTATTACTTATTTTATGAAGCCCTAAAATGTTGGTAAAGGCCTTATGACACTAAACTCAAAGCGTACTAGAAGGTTTACTTGATTGTAGAAAAATATGAAACACATTTGTTTGTGTCAGCAAAATTTATTTATTTAAATTTTGTCTTAATGTTAAATTTTTGAAATGTAAAAACACTGAATATATCCCAACTAATTAAGAATATTTACTCTTCAATACTTAGAAATGTAATGTAATGTAAATTTTTTATAAAAAAAAAGTACAAAAGAAAGATTTCAGTTTTAATATTGAATCAGTAGATTCCGATCAGTCCCATGAGATCAGTAATGATCCCAATTGTTGAAGAATGCAACGTTAATGTCAATGACGGGCGTGGAAAATTCTTCCCAAAGTTCTTCTCTTCTGCTCGCTGTGATTCTAACAATATTGAGTTATTTATTTTAATTCCCTCATTGTAATAGTACGTACACGTACTTTCCACCTATCCATCTTACCTTTCCGGTTTGTCTTTCCTTCTTTCTTCATCTCTTCCTCTCACTTTCGCTGTTTCTCTTTTCGCACCTCTGCCTCTTTCGTCCCCTATAGGCCTCAAACTCTCTCCTTTCTTTGTCTCTTCTTTTATTTCGCACTCTCTTTCGTTCTGTTGCTGCTCATCATGATCATGATCATGATCATAGAAATATTGCATATTGCATGGAAGAGATGAGGAACTTTCTAAAATTAACACTTGTGTCGCAGTCTATGGTCACAGGCCGCACGAAATGGAGGAAAAACATCAGAAAAAAAGTACATTTTATGAATAAGTCGCAAACAATGAATGAATGCGGGAATGTGTGTTTGTTCGCCACTGGCACGGTTACAGCAGCAAAAACAACAACAGCAACAGCACCACTTGGCAAATCTGAGAAAATCCATATGTTGGCAAAAAAAAAAAAGAAAGAGAAACACATGAATGTATGTGCATATGTATATGTACTATATATGTACGTACATATCTGTTGGTCGCCTCTTCTGGTTTGGGTGGCACTTGTGTGGAACTAATTGAAAAAGAAGAAAAAGCGCAGACTAAAAAATTAGGCCAAATGTGCAGTCAACGACGTCAGCTGTAAACCAGGGCAGAGTTATAAATTTGCATGCAAAACTTCATTTTATGTGGCAGCACTGGCAAAAATTAAAAAACAGTACCTATTGAGCACTGTATGGACATAATTTATTCAATGAGATCAGTAAACACGAACAATGGGCAATTAAAAAGGAATAATTAGTCCACTTTGGCCAAATTCACTTTTTGATTTGCTCAACGATTCAGAAAAATATCTGAATAAAATGATCATTACTTGCCATTATGAATTATTCCTCTGGTTCATTGAAATTAGTGCATAATCACATTATATATTATTAGTAAGAATCAGTGGTCCGGGCACGACCATTTGAAAATGTTGACAATTGAAATAGAATTCCGAAACAAGTCGGTAACAGTTTAATCTTCACGCAGTATGCTTTGGATTCACTAATAAAATAATACAAAAAAAATTAAAAGATATTAAAATACTAAAAATAAAATGATGTAAAAAGTAAAATATAGTAAATAATAAAAAGAGTGCACTAAAAAAATTAAAGCAATATAATAAGTAAACAAATTTAAGACTAAACAAAATAAAATAATTTAAAGAATATAAAGAAAGTATTTTAGAAATGTTTAAAGACATACGCATTGAAAGATTCTATTTTGACAGTAAGACTATATGTAACGTGTCTTGTCACACTGCAGAATTTAATTAATTAAATAAATAATATAAATTATAGTGTAGTTTTTGATTTTTTTGGCTCGCAAAGCTGAATAGGAACACTGACACTATTGATTGTTTACCAGCCGTACAGCAAGTTCCATTATCATAATAATTATGATTCGACTGTGTTGGTAAAAAGATGATAATTGCGCCGACGTAGCGGCAACTTTTCGACTTTCACACAAAGACACACACACACACACACATACAAACGCGCGTACACATTCCACAGCGGCGCTCTTCCGGTTGATGACCTTTACCGGCGTTTTATTATAGTTTCTTCTTCGCTCATTTTTTTTGTTGCTCTACCCTTGCTGGGATTTGTGAGCATCGTCATCAGCTTTTGGTTGGTTGGCATCATTCAAGCGTAGCTCGCAGCCCGCATGTTTAGTATCTGACTTACAACGAGTGTATCTGTATGTATGTGTGTCTGTGTGTGGGTCTGTGTGTGTGTATTTAGCACAGTGCCGTTAAACATTTTTCAACACTCACATGCGTACATATGTACATATCTGTGTAAATAAATAAATATGTGTATCTGTGTAAATAGTTGCTGTTGTTGGTGCGCCTAAATGCTCATTAAGCCATCGCCGCTGCTCTTTTCAAGTCATCGTCTTTGCTGTTTGATGATAAATAGTTTTTTTTTTTTTTTTTTGTTTTTGTTAGTAGTAATATGTATTGTTATTGTGAACGCGTCAATGCGCTCTATAAATACCCATAGTGTAGTCATTAAATAAATATTTACGGGAGTTTATAGTGCACAAATAAAACAATATTTATGCATACAGACTTGGTAGTCGACAAGGGCCCGAAGAATTACAAACTAAAAGGGGAAAAGGGCATATTGGGCAATAGAGAAAGTGGACGGAGAGGTGTTGGCAAAAGAAGTCTTTTTGTCTAGAAAGCTTAAACGCCGACTATACAGGCAGAAAAAGGCGTTGTGGACCACAAGTTATACACAGGTTCATATTTGATCAGTTTGACGTGACGAAGCGAAGAAAACAATTCCCTCCTGTTCGACTGTATGAACACCAAGAACTTCTGAACTATAACATCTAGGATAAAGTTAATTATGGGTACAAAAACCATTCTCCCTTTTGTGTTTGTGAAAATATCTAACCCAAATTTGGATTTGCCTAACTAAAGTCTAAAGTGTTAAACATCTTCAAAAGGGATTTCCTCTATCATTTAGTTGCATAGAAACAATCCGCAATAAAGTTTATTTCAGTTGAAGGACTAAACATCAAGGTGGATTGGTTCAACTTTAACCTTCTATTCTCTTTAAAAAGTGACTGTCACTCATAAGTAATTAAATAATTCAAACACAGACAAATAAACATTGAAACATGATAAATGTCAATCGAAACGAAAAAAGCTTTTGTATAAATGGTTGAAGCAATCAGCAAAATCAGTTGCAAAGAAATTTGAGTACGTTAATAATTTATGAACACATTTGAAGCCAAGACAGTTGTTTTTTTAAAACGAAAAAACTAAAAGAGTATGCAGAGCTATTCATTCTGTTTGTAACAGGTAGACTAATAAAATAATAACTATATATATGTATGCCAATATATTTTAAAATAAAATGCACTTAAAATTTAAAACATAATAAAAACCTACAAATAAAGTTAAAAAAATAATAAGTTTAAACATATAAATAATTTAAAATAAAATAAATATTAAAATTAAAGGAAAATATGCGATACAAAAATTTATAACATTTAAATAAATTAAAACCAAAAACTGTAACTTTACTCTCTGATATATAAAATGTTATACTCTTTAATGATTTAAGTAACTTACAAAACTATGTAAGTTTCAAAAATGTTCGACAAAAATTATATGGCTAATGAGGTGGTAATATATTTATTTTATCAAAATATATAGCTTATGGGGTTCAGAAGAAAACTCTTTAATGAATGTAAGTGTATTCAGTGGCCGATCACGCCATGTTCCAGCACTCTGTCTTGTGCGAGAGCAACAACCTTGAAGTGAATTTTGCAATTCGTTGCGTTAACGAAACCCAACAACAGCCAGCAGAGCTTGTTTTGGGAGCCAACAACATTTCCAGTTGTGGGAGATATCGTAAGACGGACAGACAGATAGAGAAGAAAGAGAAAGAGAGAGAGAGAGTGAGTGCTGGAGAGAGAGCCCGCGGTGCAAAGCTGAGTTTTCTGCTGCTGCCCAGTTTGTCATTCGTATTCTGTCCAGTTAGCAGCGCTTGGTAGAAGAAGTTGGGAGCGCTTGAAAACGCGGAAAGTAAAAATAACGCAACGGTCTTATTTTGTGAGTGTCTTTTAAATTTGCATACGTTTGCAATTAGATGTGTGTGTGTCTGCGTGTGTGGGATTTTTCTTGTTAAGTTTTGGCAATTCGGTGTGGGTCGTACTTTTTCTGGCAACTTGTCAGCAACTGCGTCAGCCAGTCAGTGTCTACGTCAACGATTTAAAGTTTGAGAAAAGCAAAAAAAAAAAAAAAACTGTTAACTTTCTTTCTGCGAAACGAGTTATTTTTATCTGCTTTTTTCAGTAATTGCCAAAGTAACTTGTCTTACTGGTTTTTCTACCTAGAATTTTTATGGCAATTGTTTAACATGAAATTTGTTGGTCAGACTATCGATCGATCACAGGCATTGTGAATGCAAAGGACTTTAACCTGACAATACAAGTGCAATCAATTGAAATCAGAATTGTAAGCGACATTATGTCCAATTTAATGTAATTGAACCAACAATTATATACGAAAAAACATATGTACATACATTGTATGTATTTATTTATGACACGCCAACTTTTTGGTGCCATTCACCGGCCGGTAAAATGATAAGCCCGTCTGTATGCACAAGGCGTGCTACAAAAGTTGCCAAGAAAATTGAAAATTGTGAAGAACATCAGTTAAAAATTATAGATTTTTTCCTCTTAAATTACAAAAGAAAACAAAGATATTCCTTTTAAAAAAAAAAAGGGTTTTTGAATAAAAGATCTTTTTCTTTAAATTGAAGATGTTTCTTTAAGATTGTGAGAAATTGATTATTTAATTCGAAAATGTTCTTTCCAAATTGTAAAAAGTGTTTATTTATATTGAAGATCATCCTAAAATATGTTTGAAACAAACGAGTAATTATTAAAATAACAGATGTTTTTTGTAAATTGTAAAATTGAGTAAACAGTGTAAATATATAATGATTGAAGTACCTAATGTATTCGGTGAAGAAAACTTAAATTGATATTTTTTGTTTGAATTCGACTCCCAAATGGGGGAAAATGAATAGATTTTGTTTACATAGATTCGACTTCCAAGGGGTGAAATTAAAAAGATTTTGTGCAATTGTCTAACGTATAAGTGTATTATTATTATTGTTATTATTTTCTTATTAATAAGAAAAACACAATTTTTTTTTAAACCCCATTCAAAATTGTCGACTGTTTTGTTGAACTCCTCTCGTATTTTACGTTATATTCGCAATATTGGAAGGCATGACAAATGTACGCGCATTAATAAACATTTATACATGCATTCGTATTTGTAAAGTCGTTGATCTTGATACGTACGAGTATATGAACGCTTGTTCACAAATTGCCGTGCAACACGTCATCAAAAAAAGAAACCAAGCCAGAAGCTGATAAAGTGCGAAAATATCTTTTGAATTAAAATAAATGAACAAAGCTTTAATTAGTAATCCAATGTACAGTCTTTAATATATTTTTCTTCTTCTATAATTATAGTAACCAACAACAAGAAGCAGAAGAAGAAGAACAGCAGTAGTAGCAGCAGCGACGGACTCGACAAAGTATGCAAATATGGATTTCCACATACTGATCGTCATCGGTTGCGTCTTCTTGGCCTCTTTCGTATCGTTTCTGTTCATCAACAAGATATTTCGGCGCAAGACATTCGAAGAGGTGGTGGCGGAAAAGCGTGCCCTCAATGCCAATCTGTATGCGCAGAATAAGTCTGGAAATGCGACGGCACGAAAGCCCAAAAAGAAGGAGCTGAAGCGTGAGAAGAAACAGCGCCAGCGCGAACAGCAAAGGGATGCCAACAACGAGGCCGAGGAAGACTACTCCGATGGTCAGTCCGAGGAGCAGGCTTCTGTGGAGGATGACGTCCAAGGTCCTGGCTTGTCTAAGCACCATGTCGAATTCGAACCCGAGCCCGAGGTGGTGAACTACAATGAGGAGAAGGCACAGCCACAATCGCAACGGCGTGCCAGCAATGCGGAGAAGGAGAATCAACATGCTGCTGGCAACAAAAAGGGCAAGAAGGACAAACGCAATGGCAACAAAGCAGCTGTGGGCATATTGGTGAACAAAAACGAACCTGTCGCCGTCAAACCAGTGGCTGAAGAGACGCCAACACTCAATCACTTTGAGACGCGTGCCCCCAAGGATATTGTGGAGCTCAAAAAACACGAGCAGAAGGAACGCAAGGAGGACAACAACAACAAGCAGCAGGCCAATAAGCGCGAAAAGAATGGCAACGCTGGCGGAGGCAACAAGAAGGAGAAAACCACAGCAACCGCCGTAATTAGCGCCGCCATCGAGCAGCCCGTTGAGGTGCCGCACGTGCCCAAACAGGTCCTTAAACAGCAGCAGCAGCAGCAACAACAGCAGCAAAGTGGCTCTCCAAAGGCGCAGCACAACAATGCCAACAATAAAACCAAGAAAGAACAGCAGCAGCACGCCAAAAAGCAAAAGGAAACGCTTGCTGCCAAGGACCTCGTTCAGGCACTCGATAAGTTGGCCGAACATCAAACGATTGGCGTCTCAGCGCTCATGAATGTGTTCTCACGCGCCGAATTGAATCGCTCCGAGATCCAAATACTCATTGATTATTTGCTCAACAAGCAACAAGACATGCCCGCTTCGCATGCCGAATGGTCCGATGATATTTGCCAGAAACTTAAGCGCCAGCTCGAGGAGAAAGAGAAGCTATTAGCCGAAGAACAGGAAGCCTCCATCGGCATACAGGCTAAGCTGCGTGAATTGCGCACCGAAATCAACACCGAACGCGCTCAAATGCACAGCCGCTTGCAGGCGTTCCAGAACAAGGAACAGGAGCTGAACTCGCTCAACCAGGAGCTAGCCGCCACTAACGAGAAACTGACACTCGAGCGGCAACAGTTCCAGGCCAAGTTGCTGCGTGAGAAGCAAGCCAGTTCGCAGGATCTGCTGCCACAGCTGCAGCACCTGCAGCAGGAGCTGGCACTCAAGGAGAAGGTCATCGCGGAAATGACGTCCTTCGTCAATGCCGAGTCCCAGCAGAAGAACGAACATCTGCAGAATCAGGCCCAGCAGATTCTGGCGCTCGAGCAGCAACGCGACGAACTCGAACAGCGTCTCAATAACAGCATCTTCGAGCTGGAGCAGCGCAAGCAGCTCGAAACGGAGAATGCCGAACTCAAAGTCGAGCTCCGCAACCTTCACAATGCCCTCGAATCGGCTAAAGCCGATTTGGCGCAAACACAGACAGCCGCGGGTGCGGCCCAAAGCGAGCTCTCCCACTCGCGTGCCGCACACTCTGAGCTGCAGGATCTGCGTCAGCAATTCAATGCCCTCGAGGCTAGCAATGCGGCTCTCAAGCAGCAGGTGAGTCAGAGCCAGGCCGACACAGCCGCCGTGCAACAGTCGGCGGCACAAACGGAACAGGCGCAGGCGCAATGCGAGGCTCTGAGTGCGACACTCACGCAAAAGGAGCAACAGTTGGATGCGTTGCAGGCGCAGGTCCGCACTCTCAACGATGCCCAAACGGCTCAGCAGCAAAAGACCGATATACTGCAGTCTCAGTTGCAGGACGCCCAGACACGGGCCGAGCAACTGCAAGGCAAGGAGCGCCAACTCCAGCAGGAGTTGCAGGAGCAGCGCGAGAAGAATAATGTAAGCATACCGATCTTGTTGTTATTGTTGTCTGTTGTTGCTGTGATTACTCATAACCTCATGTGCATAATTTCAATTAACACCTGCCTGCCTATCTATGTATTGTGTGTGTTCTTTTATTTGGCTTCTCCTCGTCTCTCGCCATCTACTAATTTCTTTTTGTAACATTTTATGCACGTTTGTGTTTTTTTTCCTCGCCATTTTGCCAAACACATGAAGGATCTTCGTATGAAAAATTGGAAGTTGATTGAAGCGTTGCAAAATGCCGAAGCAACAACAAAGCTCCTAGCTGCAACAACAACAACAACAGCAGCAACAGCAAAGGCGAAAACAAACACACAAAGCATAGCCGTAAGTGCATGCCACACTTTATCCTTTCTTACTTGCATCCTTCCTTCCTTTCTTTACTAACGGCACAATTGATTAATTAATTTCTGATTTAGTCAAAATCCAAAGGACTAGCAAATATCGCACTCTGTGGTCAGATAGGCAAATATTTATCATTATCGGTAAACTATAACATATAGCTGCCACAGCAATGATTGGTACAACAAAGTTTATTTTAGTTAAATGACTGTGTTCCTAACTGTTTAATATCTTGAAGATGACAACTTCGTCATAGCATTAATAGCCGTATTCATGAGATAACCGGATTTATAAATACATATATATCTAACAGTCAGTCACTTAATCTAAAAGCCTAACAAATAAGAATTATAAGTGGAGTGCGAATAACAAATAACAAAATACAAAAGCAGAGATATTTATTTATTTACAAATTTACCAATAAACCACAAAAAAAAAAAAAAAAATAAGAAAGCCGGGTCTCCAAATCGTTGGATAGATTCTTGATTTTTAATTAACACCTAACAAATTAAAGTTTTGAATGAAAAATCCAATCTAAAATATTATACAAAAAACTAATAACATTTCTTATTTCGTTTCTCGTTCTGTAGTAAATGTTTGACAACTATCTTCAAAATAATTTTCCCTTTTAACCCAATTGTGGGTTTAAATTTACCAAAATCACTTTACAAATTCAACAAAAGATGCGTAAAACAAAGAAAAATCAATAGATTTTTTATTGAAGTTGAATATACATTTATTTCTTCATTTAAAAATTAAAAATCTTTAGAAATACACTGAGAAAATAAGGTGAGAAAAGTAGTAGATAGATAAAGATAAAGAAAAGATACAAAAATAGCCTATTTCATATTGAAAAGAAATATCCACAAAAAAAATTATATTTGAAATAAAATTATAGGGTATTGGAGTTATTTTGCGTCTGTATGGTTCTTGTAGTGATTAGGGTTTTAAGTGGGTTGATAAAATGATTTGATTAATAATAATAATAATTCTTTAAGTGCTCAAAATTAATCTGCCGGCCTATAGAAAAGAATATTACAAAAATAAACATTTATTTATAAACATGATAAGATTGGAATTTCATAGCTAGTTGGAATGGGTTTTGATTAACTTAAGTGGGAACGTTTTTAGGCGGGGAAACTGTTCATTGTGTTTTAATTAGGGGTTTCATTTAATATTGATTAGATTTGTTAATTTGAAGTGCCTAATTTTTTTTCTTTTTTATCTTTAATATTTTTTTAGTTCTGTCCTAATATGTTATGAGTTCTTTAAAAAGTTCACTTGTCATTATTTATTTCAACAACCGGCTGACGCCATCAACTAAATTTGTTTAAAACTAATATATTGTTTTGATCTTTGCAGCAACAACAGACTCAACTGCAGCAACAGGAGAAGGCATTTGCTGCTGCCAATGGCGGCCTGAATGCGTCCGCTCATGGTGGCGTGAGCGCGGGCGCCGGCACAGCAAAGGCTGAACAGCAACGCATTCGTGAGCTTTACGAGCGTCTGTATCCGGATGCTGTCAAGGCACTCGCCGCCACGGCCCTCAACGCCTCCTTCGACGACTGGCTGGAACAGGTACTGGCCACTCAGATCAAGCAGGCGCAGAGCAAGGCCACCAATGGCAGTAGTAATAAGTCCACACAATCAACAAATAGCAGCAGTCCCAACAGCAGCAACGACAGCAGTAGCAATAATCATCATAGCACCCACAGCAACAGCAACAATATTAGCAATAATAGTAGTTTGAATAGCAATGCTTCCGCCGAGCAGGAGGAGCTGCGCACACAAAACCTACAGTTGCGTCAGCACAATGATGAGCTCACGCAACTGGTCACAAAAACGGTAAGCATCATCGACGAGATCCATAGATACGATTCCTAAATGCACCCTTTTACTTTGCAGAGTAGCACGCTCTTGGAGCTGGAGAAGCGGGCACGCGAACAGGACGAGCACTGGCGGGGTCTGGTGAGCCAAAAGGAGCTACTCATTGAAACGCTGCAGCAGCGTGCCTCAAATGGTGAACAGGTGAGTCTACACAAGTAGTTCCTGAGCATGGGCTTAAGGATAAGGTGTAAAGATATATTGAGAAACAACCACAAATTTGATTTCTATTGTTTAGTGCATTTAAATATCATTATATTTAACTATTCTCTTTCTTTTTGCAGGACATTTAATGTCGACGCTGTCTAATAACAATATTTAAAAAAAACAACGATATTGACAAGAGGAACAGCTTTGCGGCAGCGACTTGTCTAACTTCCAGAACAACAACAACCAATAACAGCAACAACCACACAACAGTAACAACAACAATTCTAACAATTTATTAAGTTTAAAGTTTAATATTATGAAGTGAAATGAAATCTGAAAAATTGAAAATACCACAACAGCCACATTTAACATTTTAAATTAGTAAACCAGATAGAAGGATGAAATGAGAGAAATGCTTTAACAAAAAACTATACATAAAACTAAAAGAGTAAAAACAAAACTTGTGCAATGTTGAACATTTAAAAAGAGAGAGAAAGAGAGAAGGGAAAGCATTATTCTAAATGGCAAATATAAAGATAAAGTTTGTCTTCTAAATACGCCCACAAAAAATAACTACAACAATAACACACACATTGCTGCTGTTGCACAAAAATACATATATATTCTCTTTATATTTTATTTATATGCACATTGTCTATATATATAAATATATAATTATTTGTGTTTAATTGCATTTAAAAACGAAATTATATACAACAAATTTTTAATTTGAAATGTCACTTAAAAGTATATTTAAAACACTAGTGCATGTATGTATGTGTGTGCCTGTTCAATATTTCCATGTACATTAATTTTTGTTGCATTTTTGTACTGAAAACAGCTTTGTGTTTATTGTTATTCTTAAAACTGCTTGTAACTTTTTTTTGTGTTTTTATTGAAGCCAACAAACCCCTCTAAACACAGCATCAGCAGCAAATGCGTGTTAGATCGTTAAGCATAAATGGTCACCCAACCTCTCCCCCCCTAAAAAACAGCAACATATTTAATTAAGCATAAACAAATAAACTATTTTTATATAAACAAATGAAACTAATTTAAGTAAATGCAAATTATAATTGCACACACAGAGAGACAACATGAAGCTCACAAACAACAACAACCACACACCCACATTTGGCAAGTTGTAGAAAACTGCATAAATTGATGAGGATTTATAAAACTACATAGCAATTAATTCTCAAATTTGTTGCATGCAAAAATAGTAACTAGGCTTTGTAATAATAAAACAATAGTGCAAACAAAAGCAGAAAACAGAAACAAATCTGTTGCCGAAACAGTGTTGTACAATGAGAGCCGGCACTTCGATAGCATGTTATCGATTTCATAATTGAATGGTCGGCGGTATTAAACTAATCTGAGTTATGTATTAAAAAAATAAAACAAATTATGAAAATGAAAGAAAAACTGGAGCTGATTATAAAGATTATGATTTATAATTAAAATACATGAGAATTCAATACACACACATATGAAAATTAAACAAAACAAAAATTGTACATTTGACTGGTTTTTATTATTACTATTGTATACATGTTGTAAGTATAAATCTTTCCCTCAGCGTTTGGCAGTCAATGCCAGATTTTGTATGGGTATGACCATATGGAATGGATATTGCAGCAAATCGGCGCAAGAGGGCCGCTTTTTTGGCTCCAGCTGCAGGCAATTTTTGGTCATCTGGAAAAGATCAATAGATTTGGTTAAAAGTTATTAAAATAAAATTTTAATATTGGTATTCTGCTTATGGAATTCAACGTTTTGGAACCCAAAGTGAAAGTAAAAATTCAAAAAGTACATCTCAATTAAAACGTAGGTTCTTAAATGGAATCAAACTAATAAGTTGAAAAAATTTTTTGCTGACGGGATAAAATATTAAAATTTAAGTCAGTCTTCGAGATGATTTCTTATTTCACAAATAATGTGGTTGCTTTTATCAAATTACTTTTGGAACATCTTCAAGTAGCTTTTAGGCAAAATGTACTGCAATAATCAAAACACAGGAATATATTAGGTTTTACAAAGTTATTCCGAATGAAAATACCAAAAAAGTGACAGCAATTATTGGGTAGTGCATATTTATTAATAATACAAAGTTCGAGGGTTTTCTCATCAGAGAAAAAACTTTTTAGAACCCATGTATTGAATTACATCCTGTATGTTTAGCATTCTACGTCATTCCAGATGTATGTATCAAGAACAGAACTATAACTTGTAAATAAAAACCTGGGTTAATGAAATTTGATGGAACTTCGAATTATTTTACGCGCTTTTTCCAAGTTTTTAAGGACGTATTCGTGATGAAAACGTCTATATTCAATATGAAGGGCCGGTACTAAGTCTAAGATCTATATATTTTAATCTGCCTCATCTACATTTCACTCAAAATAAATGGGAATATACGAATTTAATTGAGTTCTATAGAGTAATTAGTTCTCTGAACCCTTTTCTGTTCGTTTTTTTTTTTCGTTAATGTTTTATTTACATTTCCCCAATTTTTTCCAATTTGAAAACGTTGCAAGATATCAAAAAAAGTATATTTGAATGGAAGATTAGTCTTATTTTCGAAACCTATTTAAATTATTGAAAACTGGTTTTTAAAATCTTTGAAAAATTCTTTCGACCGAACTAAGGATTGATTTAATTGAGTTTGAATCTTGAAGCTAGAATGAATTATTTTCCACTTACATGCACCAACATGATTGGATAATAGACCGGTATGGCTGGATAGTCGATACTCGTGCTGGGACTGGAAATCGCGCTCATTTTGGCGTTTATGTTTCTGATATGACCGAAGGGGGTCTTCTGGTACAACAGCAGATATAAAATGCAACCCAAAGACCAGACATCCGACTTCGTGGAGATTTTCATTTTCGGCTGATTGTTACGCATCGGACTGCTACCGGTCGATATATCCGTTAGGGCCTCGGGACTGATGTAGTTGAAGGTGCCGGCTGGACTGAATTTGATAATGCTAGTCGAATCGACGGCTATGTTGCTGGCAATGCCAAAATCAATTAATTTCAGGCGTCCATTGACCATCAGAAAATTGGCCGGCTTGAGATCTGAATGGATGACACCATTTTGATGAATATAGTTGACTGCCTGCAGCATTTGGTAGAGTATGTTCATCAGATTATAGAGCGGCAGATTTGTGGTATAGCTTTGCAGTATTTTATTTAAATCCGAATCGCCTTTTTCCATTACGACATACAGCTTCGATTCGCGGCTGTTCAGGAGGCTGTGAAAGGGTGAGTTTATTATATTTTGTTAGGGTTATCTCTAGGGTATGGCTTACTAGTCATAGAGCGCCACAACGCAGACACAGCCCTGCAGTTTGGCCAGCAATTTTGTTTCGTTCAGGTAGCCCTCGACAACGGCAGGATCTGCCTGCAAATCCACCACTTTCAGCGCAAACTCCTCGCCCGTGTCCTTGCGACGCGCCAAATAGACGGAACTGGAGCCCCCGCAACCCAATTTGCGAACTATAACGTACTCATGGTTCTTAATTTTCAGCACATTTGTGGATGAAGAGGATGTTGCTGGCGTGGAAGCTGGCGGTACTGGTGCCGGCGCCGACGCTACTGGCGGCAGCACTTCGGCCAACTTTTCTGCTTCGCGAAACGCACTCTCCAGTGAGACTTTGGATTTGCCAGTTCGGGGCACAGCCGCTGGCTTGGGCTGGGCAGGCGTATCAGGACTCTCGCTGATGGTATCGCACAGCGAGAATGAGATGCTATCACCGGGAAAGGCCGCACCGCGACTCACTGCCATAGGTGTTTGGAAGAGCACCTTTTGGGAGCGAAACTCGTTGGCTAGCGAGCTACTGGCTGCTGACGAGGATTTCTGTAAGTCCTGTTGACGTGATCCTCGCATAATTGAACGACATCGTACCTGTGGCGTCACAAACTCCGCCTCGTGCTTCAACTGCGACTTGGGGGCCACATTTAATGGCCGTAGTGGCGTCTCCGTTTCAATGGCCTTACGTTGCAACGTCGTGGGTGGTGGGCCTTTTTTTGCAGGCTCCTCCACCTCAGCATTGGGGGACTTTTCTCTGCCGCTACAATTGATGCCCATATTGCCAAATCGTCCCAGAAACGATAAATTGGAGTCTGTGCGCTTGAGGGCCGCCGCGGGAATGGATAGGCTTGACGTGCTGGCAGTGTTCTCATGCAAGGGACTTTGTATAAAGGAGTCGTTTAGAATGGCGCAATTTAAATTATGATCGCTCTTGCCCTCCTCCTCGTCCTCCTCATCGCTATCCGACTGCATTTGGAGCTCCCGCGTGCGCATAGGACTACAAAGAAATCGTAGAAGTATTTCAATTAAAGCCCTAAAAGATTCTTCAGCAGGATATTGGACTTACAAGAAACCGTATCCGCTTTCCTTCGGAGCATTGAGCAAACTATTTTTTGCATTATTAATGCTTTGCGCCACATTCTCTTTGTTTGTTTGATCACTGCAAGCAAGGTTTGTTATTTATTTTATTCATTCATTTATTTTTTGTAAATCTAGACACCCACGCGTTCCTTTGACTGGACTTGCAGGGCGTATTTAAATCATCTTCCGAATCAAAAAACGCCGACATATCCTTAACGCGGCGCGGCAGTGGCGTAGCCATTTGTTAAGCGCTTAAAATTCCTAATATTAATCACTTAATTGCAAATATAATAAATACACACAAAAAACACATAAACAACAACAACGCAATTGGCTTTGAATTTGATCAAAAAGTGTTGGCAAAGTAAGCGCGCTGCAGTGCTGTTAAATGACCAATTTAGTGGCAGCGCTAGAGAGCGCTGCCAGACTGACGCACGCTTGTTAGCAATTTGGCAGCCCAGCATTACTACCGACAACAATCAAAACAAAGCAATTTTTTTGTTAGTTCTTATTACTTTTTCGTGTCAGTTACTATTGAGTATGGAAGCCAATGAGCCCAGAATGCAGAATCAGGACACCGCTCCATTAATGGATCCGGTTTTGTTCTCTGACGATGGAGGAACGTTCAAGCCGCTGAAAACGGTGCCCGCATTCAGGTATTTGCAATTCCCGGCTATGAATCACAGCTAATTTGTTGGGATGAAAGGGGTTCTCTATCGCAACGCAATTAACGCACACTAATGCAAAATTATTATTATTATGTATGTGTGTAGCATACACTTGCTTATTTCGACGATAATCTCAATTGTGGGCATTTGCTTGGCGGCTACTTGGGAACCAGAGAAGCGATGCGACGCCTACTTTGTAATGCTATACTTGCGCGCCACATTCTGGGTGATAACTTATGTGAGTAATGCCAATGACATAGCATTGATCGGTTCAATACTTAACCCCACACTCTATCTCTGTCAGCTCTTTGATCATTATGTGAAGCGGGAACACGATGCGCTGCGCCTGAACGGCTACCACGACTTTCACAGGGACACGGCCATGCAGAAGGGCATTCCACTGCATGTGGTGTCCTTGTGGAACTCAATGCTGTTGGCCGTGCAGGCGCTCATTCATCACTACTATGGCGAGAATTTCTTTGTACATTGTGCCGCCGGCTGGCTCTCGCCCGTCGCATATGTGACTCTTTTCAATGTGGCCGAGAATGTCGTTTTGGCGGCCATCCATGGCTGTTACATTAGTAAGTAAAAGAGAGTTGACTATCCTTACTAAACCGTCCAAAAATCAAACGCTGATTTGCCAGCTGTTGCTTCCAACAATCCTTTCATGTAGTGCACATTTCTATATCCTGTGTTAAATGTTAATTTTTCTCTGTTCGACTGTATGACCATCCAGTACTTTTAACCTATTACAGCTAGGAATACTATCTTATGCATTCTTAAAACGTTTTTTAAATGTCCCCCATTCCGTTGCAGGCAAGGTGCGTAAATTCAACAAAGCCGCACCGCCACCAGATGTTCTGCGTGGCGCCGACAGCGCCAGCGGCTCACTTGGACTGATGCAGCCAGAGGGAAATACCGCGGAGCTGCTGGAAAAGCAGGCCGATCTCATCGCCTATTTGCGCGATCACTCGAACAAACTCAATCAGAAACTCCACCAATTGCAGACCAGTGTCCATCCAGTGCGCATACCACAGATTCCTTAAGACTTACTCACTAAATGGAAGGATCAAACATAGTCAAAGACAAGTATATGACTACAGTATATGATTGGTTTTGTGTATTTTCATTTATTTTTGCGTCTTCTTTTGTATTATTCAAGGCATTGAAATGTTCTTCAAAAGAAAAAACACATTGTAGTAACGCGATTAGGCTTTAAAAAATTAATAACTGTAAATACAAAAAATATGTATGTATCCGAACCTATAAATGTTATACAACTAATATATTCATAAGTTGATTATACAAAATATACATATTAAATATTATTATTATATTTATGTACGTGTGTGTGTGTGTCTGTTGGGAACTGAATTGTAAGCAACAAGTAGCCTCAAACAGAATCAGAACATTGCCCCAAATTCAGCAGCTCTGGAGGAATTTCCAGTATCTCCAGCGAGGTATCCTTAGACGATGTAACTACCTGCGAATTAAGCAAATAAACAATTTTATAAAAATAATCTCTATTCAATTTCACACCCACCTTATCGCCCGTTATTGCCAGTGCCAGCACCAAACGGCCCGAGCCCTCAAAACGGCCGACCTGTACATTCTTGATTTTGTCTAGAACATAAATATAGCCATCATAGCAGCCAACCAGCAGATATCGGTCCTTATATGTAGCCATCGATACCGCACCGTTGCCACAATTCAGTGTGGAAACGAGGGCTCCACTCTGAAAATCCAATGAAAAGAAAACCTCAGATGAAAAGCTCATCAAATCAAGGACATAATCGACACTTACCGCAAAATCGAATTTAAATATTTCATTCTTCTGAGTACCACAATAGACGTAGACTTCGTTTAGCAGCAGGCTATAGACATTCAAACCTTCTGGAACGCTGAGGCGACGCAGCAACAAGCCAGTGGCTGCATCATGCATATAGACAGAGTTTCCCTTGCAGCCCAATACGAGAATCTTGCGCACACCCTCTTTGGTGGCCTTAACAGCAATGATGGACTGGCCAGTTCCAAGCAACGGCATATCAATAACTTTGTTGGTCTGAAATAGGTTCAAGAAATGTTTAAATGATATCCTATTTTTAAACTCCTAAAGTTAGCAACATATTTATAGTTTGCGTGTGTATGAGAGATCTAAAAAAAGGAAACCAATCTGGAGATGCGGGGCATCGATCCCCGTACCTCTCACATGCTAAGCGAGCGCTCTACCATCTGAGCTACATCCCCATGTTATATTGCCCGCTTTTATTGGCCCTTATCACCATTTTATTCAGCTGATTATTGGCTATTACTGGACATAGCCAAAGAGTTGTGCTTTGCATTGTAATTTGTCTTGGCCCCCGCTGAAGTGTCGCCAGCGTGTGCGACAATTTAAGCAGACCACTTAATCCGATTGGCCATGTCTTTTGTGCTGACACATTATATGTTGAACAGCTTTGTCAAGTGGCTTGATTATTAAATACTCTATTGTTTCCAAATATTGCTGGATCGAATTACCGTCCTTAACATAGCATGACTTTGTGGAATGCCTATCCCGCATTTTTCCATTTCAAATGAAGCATTGAAATAGTTGCTTGCCCTCATGTTTGAATCACGCATGATGTGGTTTCTAGATCTTCGACCTTAACCATTCCCCTAGATAACTATCATACGACTTTAGAAATTTCGCCTCCTATTTATGAATGGAAATGTTCTACTTTCCTTTTACTATGCTTAACCGATTATATTAAACCGTTGCTATTGAAATTGCGTCCTAGATATTTTGCCTATGAGGGGCGTGCCGATAAAAGTGGTGTCCATCATGAGAGTTTTCACTGTACTTCTCTGCATTTTTTAAGAGTCGCAGCATCTTCCTCTTTCACACTCCCTGGTTAACCGAAAAACTTTCTAGTCAAAAAACTTAGATGGTATTTTAAAAATCTTAAGCAATTTGGTTTTTCTTCCGACTTTTCTAGATCTCTACAGCCAAGTCGAACTGCATCTTGAGCGAAGCAAAGCTCGATTGATTCAAGATTCTAAACAGTTTTACCTTTTCGTAAATTCCAAAACTATTCCCTTGTAGAACAAGCACTAGTATCTATTAAATCATTCAGTAGCAGTATCTATAATCTTCACACTCGCCTGTGCCAGACTGTATTACTAGGAAGTAGCAACTTTCTAATTCCTCTTGAATTTGTCTCTTGATTCTGCATTTATTGAAAGTATCTGGAAAGCCTTTTTAATTCCGCTCCGCACAAAAATTGATGTAGGTCAGACATTATCAACCATTTGCTGGCGATAAATTGGCTAACATTTATATTACCCAATAAATATACATATAGGTAAGGCATTATCTGCTTTAGCTCGAGTGGCACTTAATAAATAAATACCTTGAAAAACAATTTATAGCTTTGATTAAATTGCTTATTGTTTTTAGGCTTACTTTCAACAAAAACCAATTACAAATAGGGGCAGGTAAGGTGTTTGGTCCAAAATTTCTAATTGAACTTCTATAAAAACTCTTCAGAGATCATTGGCTTCTCAAAATGCTGAACTCTTTTTTTTTTTGCAAAAGTATGGCTTTTAGAGCACAAAAAGACTAGGAAAATCAAGGATTTTTTATATGTACTTATAATACTATTTACTTTACAATAAAAATAGTAATTCTTAATAAAAACAGAGAAAAGTCGAAAAGTATTATAGTTGCCAACTCACATACAATTCTTTGGCATAAGATATAACAAATGCTTATTATTATTGGATTCGATTTCCATATTCAGCAAATGTTTTCCTTAACTACTAAACAACTAATGACAGTAAAAGTAGTTTTATCGTAAAATTCAAAAGCCCTTTTTTGTGCAGAAACTCATCAAAAAGCATTATTATTAGACAAAGAAAAACTTGCCACATCCGCTAGAAAATTCCAGAAATGGCAGCCACTTCTCGCGCCCTCCCTCTTGTTGCAGCAGTCGGTGCCATGATAAATGAGGAGCTACCTACCTATCCACCTATCTACCTATTCCCAAATATGCCACATGGTTAAAAAAAAAGGGGAAAATAATCAAATTGCAATGCACGCCCCACGAATATGGCATGAACGTAACTATTTTTACAACAACATGCAACTAAATGGAATGGGGGAGAAAAAGAAGATGAGACTGCAAATTTATGTACTGTTATTGCTGCGCTGCCTCGATTATTTACAAGATGGCGTCGCCACCATTGCTGGGTGCAACTGAGAAGGAAAGCATAGGGTACGAAAAATAAATAAATAGCCCCAACCAGCTAGAGAACTGCAGGCGGCGCACACAAAATTGCAGGACTGTGCCGTTTTGTTTATTTAGTGGTTGCAAGACAGTCCTGCCACACCCCCCAGCACCAACACATTAACACACACACACACACACACACGAATGCAATTTGCTGTTGCTGACGTTGTGGCGGATGCTACTACAAAACAACAACAGCAACAACGACAACAGAGGCCAGGCCAGGCCAGACCAAAGAGTTACATTTACGATTACTTACATACTAACGGCATTTGCTGGCAAACAACCAACCCGGTTCGTCAAGGACAGCCAATGAGAAAGCGGCGCGCCGACGAGACTCCCACACACACACACTCGCACAGGCGTCATTTTCCAGAGACGACACAACACAACAAAACAGGAGCCAACCAGCACAAGAAATGCCAGTCACAACAACAACAGCAAGCACAACAACTACAAGTATAAAAACAACAACAGCGGCAGGCACGAAGACATTCCAATTGCAACGCCTTGGAAATTTCGCCTGCAATAAGAGAGAGAGTGCGAGCGAACGAGAGAGAGAGAGAGAGAGAGAGCGTGAGCAGCGCAGTACATAGAGAGCGGGTATGGGTTATGCCTTGCTTGTATTTTATTTAAAATTGTTTTGAGTAAATAGCATATAAACATTTTATTTGCTGCTGCCAACTTGCTGGCAGCGCCGCCAACGCCAACGCCAACGAAAATGTAACGAATGAGCGTGGGGTAAGAAAAAGGAAAAGCAAAAAATATGCATGCACAAGTATCTATATATATTTGTATGTGTGTGTGTGTGTGGCAAGCCCAACTACTAACGGTATATGCAACAGCACTCGCATTGGCAAAAACAAAAATAGCAGCAACAATAACAGCAAACCGGCAAAGGAAACTGCAGTACGGTGGCTCCGACATGCGCACAATGTGCGAGAAAGAGGCAGCAGGCACTGAGAGGGAGCGGAAGAGTGAGAGAGCGACCAGGCGAGTCGTTGACTTCGTGTTGCTGCAAGCCAGGCGGCAGTCTGCCTGCCTGTCTGCCTGCAATATACAATAGGAAGAGAGAGAGAGAGTGTGGTGTGTGCAGGCTGCAGTGTGAGCGAGAGAGAGAGGCGTCAAGAGCAGTGTGATAGTGTGAGTCAGCAAAATATACCGTTAACTAAACATACACACATAAAAACTTAAATAAACAACAATAGGGAGCAGTGGCAGCGGCAGCGGCAACTTGCAACGAAGCTGTGCGAGCAGCAACGCTAACGATTATGGTATGCTCCATGCTCATCGCTCTGCTGCAATTTGCTGTTGTTTGTTGCAACTAACCCCCACCCGAAGCCCATCTCAGGGCCTTCAACGTCGTTGTCGTTGTAGTCGTTCGCATGTGCAACAATTTTAGTTTTTCGGCCAAACAACGTGCAGTAAAAGCAACAAATGCAAAATAAAACACAAAACAATAGACAAAATATCAAGCAATAGCAGCGTCTGCTGCATCGAAGGAAACGCCTTCTCCAGCTTCGTCTGTCTTTCATTTTCATTTTTCTTCTTTTTTTGGGGGGCGTGTACAACTTCTAGGCTTCTATATACGACAATAGTTGTAGCTATATAGCTTAGGTGTTACCTAAATATTTAGTAAATAGTATGTAGCACAGCAAGTACAGTTGTGCATGCAAAAAGTAGGTGCAGTTGTGTTTGCGAGAAAAGTACAGTTGTGCTAACATTTAACAGCACTTCGTTTTGGTCACGTCGCTGCAATAAATTTGAAATTTTTTCACATTTCCATATCGAACGCTCCATTATACTTGTATTATGACTTATGCCTTGTTGTATTCTACCCTCCAAAAGAAATGAATTGCCCGAAATAATGCCAAACAGTAATGAAGTGCCCCATCACAGCTCTCCAACTGTTCTTTCCTCTACTATCCAATTTGTAAGTATGTAAAAAATTCGATTTGATTTTCATTGTCTAGACAATGGCGGCTTAATGCCAATTTATTGTTGTTGTTATTCTGCCTGGCTGCTTTCGCGCTCCAAAAGGTGTGGCGTCGACCAACGTGTGTTGTCTTTTTGGCAGGCGTGCTTTTCAATTTTTAATTGAATTTTTTCAAGTGTGTTTATTTGACAGCTAAATATTTAATGAGCCGCACATTAATTAAATCGAAAAAGTTGCAAATCCTTGTGGAAGGCAGAAAAAGAGCAAATCACATTGACGATGCCCTCTGTTTGTGAAGAAAATAATGAATGGACAGGTTACCATTTGGTTTGGCTTCTACTTGGGAGTACAGCGAAATTTTCGACTTCTTCAAGCCTCTGCATACAATAATCAAAGATAGTTGACAGGGATAGTATCTTCTTCATGTCTGGAGTCCTCCCACCAGTCTAACTAAATTACTCTCTAGCCAACATCTCCAGCTCCATTATTCTCTGAGGATCTTCTCAAAAACTATCGGGACGACAACTGTGGAAGGTGAAGATGAGTAGGAATCGCTAAATCTAAAGCTGAGTAAACAGAAAGGACAAGAACTCCTGGGTTTCTGATTGAAGTTTTTAAATAAAGCAAATATACTCTGGGTTACCTCTCAGTCTCTATTGGGAAGTGAGCTATTAGTGAGTTCCCCTGAACTTACAGCTTCTTTAAGCAGTCAAATATGCCAAGGATATATGGATAAGGGACAACAAATCCCTAATAGTAGGGTTGAAACTTTTACAATAAAATTGCATATATAATATAATATTTTTAAGTAATACTCTCTGGTTAAAACTCAAAAAATGTCGAACTTACCGTCAAATTATAGGTAAATATGTTGCCCCAACGACTGCCAATGAAAGCAATGCCCCACTCGACATCAATGGACTGTAGCGGTTCCTTGAAATAGACCGTTTGAAGCACGCGTTCCAAGTTCTGTTGACAACAGATAAATAGCATAGGGATTAACGCCGAAGTTAATAGCAGTTTAGCACAACTGTGCTACCCACCTCTAGGGATGATTTTTTCAAAAAACCATCGAGAGATGTAGTGTAGAGGAAGGACTCCTTTTCGCACAGAAACATGTTTGTGATGGCCTCGCTGTGCTTGGTGATCTGGCGTTCGAGCTTATGGGAGCCTATGTTGAACATATAGACATCCCCATCCTCCGCAGCAGCTATGATGTACACCTTATATATGCATAGCTGGGTAATGGGGCTTTTGATGTTATGCAACCGACCACTAGGAATGAAGTCATAGTTGAGATTGGCGATAGGCGGTGACTGAACGGCTGTGTTCGACGCTTTAGCTGGTGATGTTTTGGGTATACTACGGGGTAGATCGTAGGACATGTTCGCTATGGGCTCCGGTGGTGGGGGTGGCGGCGGTAACGGTGGTATAACAGCCAGAGGTTGCTGTTGGGCAGTCGTCGATGTGGATTTGGGTTTCATGGAGCGGAAACTTTTCGCCTTCGCGACGTCATAATCATCTGCCGGTTTTGGGTGGGACGTGGGAGGGGACGTTGGAACATCAATGGGTTCGTCCTTAATGACGGTATTGCTTACGGAGAGTCTCATGGGTAGGGGCATATTATTAGATGCTGTCGATTTTTTTGATTCCTCACAGGCCTGCAGTGATTTCTCAATTTCGCGCTGCAACTCATCGGCCTGTTGATTTTGTGGAGTTGCTTTCGGAAGGATTAGACGGTTTTTAGTTGCTTTCCGTTTTGGCAAAACCTTAACACGTTTTAGGAAAACGGTGCGACGTTTTAAACGTGGTTTGGCTTTCGTAATATGGACAACATTTTCAGTTGGTGAGATTGTTGGAACCGGAGCTGTGATTATCGTTGGCGGAGAGCTTGAGGGCATCGGCCCATTTATGGGCTGATTGCGGCTTATGGCTGTGTTGAGTAATAAAAATTTTCGATTCTGCAGCTCTAGACTTTGCATTTCTAAATCGGATTTCTCTTTCTGAAACTTCATAATCATTTCCTCCAGGAAACTGCGTCGGTTTTGGTTCTCGAGCAGTCGCCGATCAGTCTCGAGTAAACTATGAGTGACAGACTCACTGAGACCCAAGTGAAACAGTGACTCCGAGTTATCCAGACTGCAGTTGCCATGGAGCGGGAGGCTGCCGGGCGAGAGACGCGGCAATGTGGACTCCATACTAAGATAGGGTAGGACTGGTAAACGTGTTGGCAGTGCAGAAGCTGCAAATGTTGCTGTTGCTGGCAAGAGGCCATTAACAGGTCCTGCGGTTGGTGTCAGATTGCGGGGTGGCGAGATTGCGGGTGGTGTACCAGAAATTGTAGAGGGTTGGGCGCATAATTCTGTTTCTGCATTTGCTGTCTCAGCAATTTCTGGGCTCGTAGCATTCGTTTGATGTGCCGGTGTCTTTGATGGCAAATCAGGCGCGGTCTCAGCGTTTTTATCGACAGCATTTGTCAGCGACTCATCGCTAATCTTATTAGTTTCTTCTGTCTCCTGCTTTTTTTGTGCCACCTGCTTCTGGTAGTTAACCACATTGACTATCTCGCGCAGTAGAAATTCTAAGCCCACTTGATTCTGAGATGACTTGAGATTCCTTTGTATGTTGGCTATTTCGATTTTGCTGAAGGTTTCCGAATTATATTCGCTGGTGCAGACACAGGAAATGAAATGTAATCGCGTTTGATTGCTCAGGCAGTGTTTGGTGCGATATCGCTCCGTTAATTCTTTGCCCAGATAGGGCAGCACCAGCTTCTCGAAGCTGCTAATTACATTTTCGCCATTGATCGTAAAATTTTGTTTCTTGGAAGCATCGTTATCGGGCTTAGCAGCTTGTTTCTTCGGCACTTCCTCCTCGTCTTCATCTTCGGAGGAGCTCAGCACTATGATATTTTCGGAAAATTGCGATTCACCAGGCAGTTCCGGTTTTATTTCCACTTTGATAGGCGCGACGTCTTTATTATCAGTTTGTTCTCGCCCATTTGTGGCACTAATAGCATTCACAGGCTCTTTAATTGGTGCGGGGCTAGCCACTTTGTTGGGTGCTGTTTGCGCGGGTTTGGACTGAACCTGTTTGGAGCTAGGCTCAGACTTCTTGGGACTGCGTTCGGCTTTTTTGGGACTACGCTCCTTTAGCTCCTCTACACTCTTCTTTCTACGCTTGGAATCTACCGGAGCATGCGGCGACTTGCTGCGACTTGTTCTTGTGGCGCTTTCGTGCGAGCGCTTGCTGGCTGAGGCCTTGAACTCCTCAGCTACCTTGAGACGCCTCATAAGATCGGTGGAGATTTTGGACTGCTTAGCCATGGTCTCTAAACTGTCTGTTTGGTTCGCTTGAGATTGTCCTTTGTCTTTAGGTTCCTCAGTCTTTTTCTCGCTTTGATCACACTCCACCTCCGCAACTGATATGTCTATGCCGAAGAATTTTTCAATATTTTGCAGCAGCACCTGTGGCAACTTAATGGCATCTACAATTTCATCTTCAACCAGCTCTTTGGTTTCATCTTTTGGCTTTTCCAGCTCGATTTCCTTTAGCTGACGGCGTATTTCTTCGCGTAGACGTCGGCGTGCCTGCAGCTGCAAATGCTCGTCATAAATAGTATCCTTATTATTGATTATATACTTGAGTGCCTCCTTGCCCATAGTAGCGAGGCGCTCATTAATGGTGAGCTCCACGCTGCTACTGCTCGAGGTCCGCTCACGTATTCGCGGAGTGGCCTTCAGTTGTGATTTTATTGCACCATGCTCCGCTGGAGAAGTCGCTGTCTCCTCTTTCTTCTCTCTAGTTAGGGCAATTATCTCTTGTCGGAGCAGTTGGGATAAAGGTTTTACCTGTATCTTGGGATTTGTTCTTGGGACTGTGAGTTCTTTTGGCTGCGTAGTATTAGTTTCCTCTCTTTGCTGCGTTGGTGCCTTCTTTAATTCCTCCAGCTGCCTATATGCTGCTAAACTATTTGAGTTCTCGCTGTTGTTATTTTTTTCCAATTCTTTAGCATTTATCCACGATATGCTTTCGTCACAGCTATTTTTTCTAGCTAGAGTGCTGGTGCTGCGTGGCTTCTCCGTAGGATCACTCTTCTTGTTCTTCAACTTATTTTGATTCGTTTGCTCTTTATTATTGAGTTGATCTTTAGTTGTTGTTTCCTTACTGGAAACCAATAGACTGGGAATCTTGGGCTCCTGCTGTGGTTGCTTCTGCTGTTGTTTGGCTGGAATTGGGTGAGAACTGCGTTCCCAACGCAACTCGCATCTATCACTGGATTTGGGATATCCTTGACTATTACTAAATGGATTACACCAGTCCGGTGGCAGCTGTCTTTGCAGGTTCCAGCTGTTGTTGTTCTTGTTGTTATAAAACGACCAATTATTGCCGTTGTCGTTGTAATTGTTATTGTTATTATAATTGTTATTGAAGTTTTGTCTGCCAAATGGCGGGCGTTCTTGGTATGAAAAGGTCGGCCTTACGTTGTTATCCCGCTGCAAATAAAATGCTCACAAGTTGACAAACTACATATATCTACGCTATAGCGGCTTAGTATAACTTACATTTTTAGGCACATAGCCTGAATTCCTGCAAGTAGAAAATACATATAGTTAGTGGAAGATGCAGATATTCAGGACGCCCTCCCCACTCCCACCATTTACAGTTACAATTAGAAGCAAGTCATGCTCATTACGAAAACATAACTACATAGAACGGAAAAGTGGAAAAAAAAATGCAGAACTTCTACGAACAATAAAGGAATAATTAATGTAATCAGGCAACGTGCTTTGCTCAGCTTTTAGCCATAAAGTCAGTCGACAGCCTGCCAAGTTTTCTTAACTTTGAGTCGCACGTAAGCAAGCTGTGGCATTAATTTAACAGATTTAAAATTTATAACCACAAGCACAACAGAACCAAACCAAAAAAAAAAAACTCAATCCCCCGCATTTGAATTCATTCTATTTGTGAATGCAAAGGTGCGAATTCCTTTGGCGTCTTGGATTTTTTCCGCTTTTGTTTCAGTCCCAGAGCGTAAATCTTGTTAAGAAATGCTAAAATATACAGCCACAAATCCTGAAGCTGTTGCCCTTTTGTAATGCAATTTGTAACTTAAACTAATTAAAAATTAAAAATGTTGCACGACTTGGAGGTTCGCGCAGATTTTTCGCGGGCCACAATAGCTTTGGTGTGAACAAATAAAGAATCGACTTGAAATATTGAGTAGTACGGTTTGTTTATTTACTTCCTTAATCATACTTATTAGTAGAAAAAGTTTTCATTTTGTTATGGGCTTTAAAAAATTAAAATAAAATTTATATAAAAAAGAAAAAATTCTATCACAATATATGCCATTTTTTGAAGAATTTGTTTTCTTTTAATAATTAGCATATTTTTAAGTTCCTTCACAATAAATTACTTGATCAAAGGAATTTGTATTCGATATGTAAAATATAATGTTTTTTCAAACTATTGGACGAAACACAAACGACCATTTACAATGTTCAAACCCGACTATTTCTTAGCAAAAAAAAGAAAAAATCGTCAAGGTCTGTAAAATAGAAAACTTGCCTCTAAATTATTATAAATAACAGTAAATAGGATATGTATTATTTTTGTGAAATCTAAATCTTGGTTAAAGCTTGGCAAAGCAGCTCGAGTGTTATTCCAACCAGAATGAATAGACAGGAAGGTTTTCCTGTGAACTCTTTTATCAACAGACAGTGTGAAGCTGGGGATTGCCAACATTCTAACAGAATTGGAGAACAGAAAAAGTGTTGAAAAACGCCACAATTAATTAAAACATTGATAGACTATAATAAAATATTTCTAAAATTAATTTATTAACAATTAGTTATGTTACATATACGAGTATAGTTAGAAATGTCATTAAATACTAGAAAAACAAATCAATTCAAAAAGGGTCTTTGAAAAATTACAAACTAAATTTTATTTTGGTAACAAAAATATCCTAATATGCGATAAGAAATTATTCGCCTTATATGTGAAAACTGGCCACCAAAATGTCAATTTTTTCGATAGTTATAATAAAATGGTTTATTTTAAAAATTAATTTAAAACAATTTACCACTTTTAGGGCTGAAATGTCTATAAGCTGTATCAAAGGTGGTCGTATTTGTGAATTTAATTATTGTTCTAAGCTTTGGAAGACATTTTAAATGAAATACTATATGGAGCTATTTAAAAGTGGTTTCAAACTCTGAAATCTACACTAAACTCGTAAAGAAATATAGCTAGAACTAGTCATAAAAAAATGTTGTTGTTGCTTTATTTTTGGTCAAATACTCAATAAACGCACCTCTCACACAATACTCTGTCATATTTCGTAAACATTAATATGCATAGCGCGCAACGGAAAGAAAAAACTTGAGAAAATTTATGCAGTGATGAGCGAAAAAGGATGCCACTTGCCAGCGAGGCTGACACGACGGAAATGGGTCTCAAAAAGTCAGAGAGCAGAGGCTCGTATGTGACAAGTCGACTAATGAGAAAGAAAGGAAATATATTCCATAGCACCTATTGCTCAAATCAAGTCCAAAGTCCCAACTAATGAAGCAGAGTAGAGTAGAGCAGTAGAAAAAAAAAATGTCACACAGCAAAGGGAAGTCAATTAAAAAAAAAAGAAAGAAGGAAAATGTCTCAACAGGCAGTAAAGTACGTGACACGCCAGAAAAGTGGTGGGGGGAAGGACATGGACAGTTTTTAAACTTACTTTTAAGGCAGCTCTACTAAAAAGTCGCAGACGACTGTGTCTTGAAATTAAAATTACAAGACACTCCCAAACACAACTCAGCTTCTGCCAAATACCTGCTCCTCCTCCTCAGGTAAATGCTGACAAAACTTTTGAGGTAACATTTCTTTTACGATTCGCGTGGGTGCCACACACACACACACACACACACGCACACACACAGAGAGAAAGTAAGCAAAGAAAAGTGCAACTCGTACGCTTTTGTCATTAATTTTGTATATCATTGAGTTTTACGATGCTCATAAATATGAAAACATTTAACTCTTGCCAGCTGCCAAGTAGTCTGTGTGTGTGTGTGTGTGGGGGGGAAGGGTCCTTTGTCGTATATGAGACAAACTAATTGTTGCTCTCCTTACACGTTGTAATGTGTTTTTAAGCAGACAACATTTTCCCATGTTTTCACAATGTTTCTGATAAGCAACCAACCAGGCGGCAGGGGAGGGGAGGGGAGGGGTTGTATACTTAAAGGGTTCCACACTCTGTCTGTGGGGCTGGAACTCTTGATTTGCAACAGCTTGAGGTAATTTTCAACTTTTGGCGATGTCGACTGTGGCAGTGGCTTCAGTGGCGCGTTGACAAGTGTGTTTTGTTTTGTTGTTTTGTTTGGTTTTAATTAAAGCGAAAAACATATATAAAGTTGCTTCAGTCAAGTGATATTAGGTATATTGGCCATGCTCGGAAAGGTCTGTACGAATACATGACGATAATTGCTGCTGGCTTTTGTGCTATGCTTTTGGCGATTGATGCTGATTTGTGGTTTGTATTTTAAGAAGGAGAGTGTATTAGGCTGCCTATATTTTAAAATTAAATGAATAGTTTAGGTATTATTTAAAGAGCTTTATGCTAGCGATTCTTTTTTCCCAATTTTTCATGGCAGCTGCTGATTGTTTAATGATTGTTTATTGATTCCGATTCATTGGTTATTTTAAGGAGTTTTTAGCATACATTTATCTTTAAAAAAACATTGTTAAAAGTTGTCTCTATGAGTTTTCAAATCTTTAATACAGTTTCTTCAACACAGTTTCCAAAATACCGGTCTACAAAACAGATATAGCCTAGGGGGGAAATGTAAGTTACATCAATAATACTTAGATTGATTTCGATTCATTGGTTATTTTAAAGAGGGTTTAGCATTAATTTTTTTTTTTAAATCATTGTTTAAAGTTGTCATTATGAGCTTTCAAATCTTTATTACAGTTTCTTCCACACAGTTTCTACAAAACAGTTCTAACCTGGGGGGAAGAGTAAGTTACATCAAGAACACTTAGATTGATTTCGATTCATTTGTTATTTTCAAAAGTGTTTAGCATTAATTTTTTTTTTACATCATTGTTAAAAGTTGTCATTATGAGCTTTCAAATCTTTAATACAGTTTCTTCAATACAGTTTCTTTAATACAGTTTCTTCAACACAGTTTCCAAAATACCGGTCTACAAAACAGATATAGCCTAGGGGGGAAATGTAAGTTACATCAATAATACTTAGATTGATTTCGATTCATTGGTTATTTTAAAGAGTGTTTAGCATTAATTTTTTTTTTAAATCATTGTTTAAAGTTGTCATTATGAGCTTTCAAATCTTTAATACAGTTTCTTCCACACAGTTTCTACAAAACAGTTCTAGCCTGGGGGAAAATGTTAGTTACATCAAGAACACTTAGATTGATTTCGATTCATTTGTTATTTTCAAAAGTGTTTAGCAAAATTTTTTTAAAAAAAAGATTGTTAAAAGTTGTCATTATGAGCTTTCAAATCTTTAATACAGTTTCTTCAATGCAGTTTCTTCAATGCAGTTTCTAAAATACCGATCTACAAAACAGCTCTAGCCTGGGGGCTTCGAAGCAGGAACGAGCATTTAAAACACAAGCACATATATTTAGCTTAATTATACAAATTAAAACAACATTTTCGCAGTTATTTAATAGTTTCCATAGAGACAGAACATATTATTTGGAGATAAGATAGGCATACGCTTAATCAAAATTGTTCACTCTCTTGAATAACTCAAAGAAAGCAAATTATTTTAAATAGACCACCAACAATCAGTTGAACGCATTGTTGGCCAAAAACCAGTTCGGCGCAAACGTGAAAAATCACCTTTCACGGGCTGCTTGCGAGCTGACTTGCATTTCAATTGGGGGCCATGCGTTGGGTCACTATAAAACCGTAAAACTTGGTCAAAACAGACAAAGCCATAAATAGTGGTCAACAAATATATATATATCAGCTATATGGCCAAAACCAACATGGGGATGTAGCTCAGATGGTAGAGCGCTCGCTTAGCATGTGAGAGGTACGGGGATCGATGCCCCGCATCTCCAATACCAGTACAACTAACTATATTTTTTGTTATTTGACAAAACCATAACAAAACACTTAAAACAATTAAAAAATAGACAAACACATAAATTGTCGTGTTGTTGTTTTGCTGTTTTGTTTCGAGTTGACAAAGTTGGCAACAGAACATCACGGCAATGGCTTAACTAGCTTAGCCCGGAAACCGAAACCCTACCACCAGCTGCACAAAAATTAAAACAAAAGCTGCGTTTCCTCATAAATAGCACATCATGTATCATTTACAGGCAACTACTCCCCCCCTTAATGTCCTCTGTGCCTCTGTGTGTATGAGTGTGTGTGTGTTTTGTGAGCCTGCGGCTGTCTTTGTCGTCGTCATCGTCATCCCCAAGACCACCATCCCAGGCCCAGTTTGTCGGTCGCACCACTGGGACGACTGTGGATCCAATGTTCTCTGGCACTGGCACTGGCTCTGACTCTGCCTGTTTAATTGCTGGCAAACTTGTGTATATATGTATATATAT